ACACACAGGCAGGAAGGAATAAACACAACCACCATGTAGAAAGAAGAATGAAAGAGCACACAATCCCTCAGCTAAGTACAAAGAACAAAGAAAATTGAGAAAACCTTTCAGAGAATCCAGCACTTCAGCACATCCATGGGTCTGTCACCCTACCAACCATAGCATCCTGTACAACCGCTGTGAAGTTTTTGTGACCTTTCTTGGAAAATGTTTGAAGTTCATGGAACGAAGAGGCTTTCTTGGCTCCAGGGATGTCGATTGCAGCACATGGTGTAAGAGTCTCACCGGTCAGACGGCACAGCTCGGCCAGAGCCCTGCCCTAGTGCCCTGCGAATGGACGCGGCTCCAACAGGAAAACTGTTTACTCCAGCTCCACCCTGTTACAGAGCGAGCAGAGTTTAAATATTGCTCAACCTCAATTATGGATGTAAAACGGAAACATATTAGTCAATACTGATGAGTCAATACGCTGCTTTTCTTAGAGATTACAAATCTCAATCACCACGGCCAGAGCAGCACTCGCCCAGGTACCACGGGGCGCTGCCAGGATGGCACTGAAGGAGCGCGGCCGCTCCCCCTCGCCCACCAGCCCCAGCGCTGCTCAGGCCCTGTTTTAACGGGGGCTGCAGCTCCAGTGCTTAGGGAGCCAGGTCCCCGAGCCCAACACCACCAGATTTTAGTTTCCCTATTTACCTCGATTATTTTGGTTTTCCTCTATCGTGTTTTCCTAAGAGAAGCCTTCATTCGTTGCACTGACAGACTAGCTGCTAAAGAGGTTTTTCCATAGACCTTTTCCTAGTTTGATTCTTAGTTGGAAAGTGCGCAGCAAGGCAGAGGACAGCAAAAACAGGTCCCTCAGTCAAGCTCAAGTGCTGTCTCATTAGACAAGACGCTGACACTACCCCAGTGCCTAACAGCGCTCGAGTATTCACCCCCTCCTGGGAGCCCAAAACAGATAACAGCTAATACCACGGCCAAAGCCAATGCATTAAAACAGCCCAAGAGGTTTCCAGCTGCCCCTCCAGAACTTCACAAGCCTCCTGCCTGTCTTGGGCACACCCCTGAAAGTACCTAACACACCACCAGACAGACAGCCACATTTAGGGAACCGAATCTCACACCGTGAATGGAAGCTGCTGGAAATGAAGCTTGGAAAGCGTCAGCTGTCAAGGGCCAGATAACACACTCAACATCAGTTACCCAAACGCAGGAGAAAATTGCTCGTGATTAAGCATCATCACCTGAAAAAGGGGGAAGAATCACCACCCTGGGAAGAACAGGAGGAAATTTGCTTTCATTAGTATCTGTGAAACGGCAAAAAAGAGGGACCTCAGTCCTCCTTTCCTCAGAAAACTGTCCTGGTAAGACACAATAAAGCAAACACCAAATACTACATCGTGACTGAACAAGTCACAATGGGCAAAGGATGCCCATTCACTGCGCTTTCCCTTGTGTACTGCCTGAACAACTGCTCCTGCTGGGAAAAAAAAAAGAAAAACTTTTTATGCCACATCTGCGTAAGTGAAGGAAATTGATGTTCTGGTTATTTCAGAGTCAACTTTTGAGAGATTAACTTTACTTTCTCAGCATTTTCCTAGTGATGTGCTGAACAAAGCCTTTATCGAGAAGTGCATTAAGCTCTCCACTACCAGCTCTCTTTAAATTCCCCGTGAAGTTTCTCCATCAGTGCCAATCTCTGCTCAGAAGAAACGTAGGACTCGATTAGCAGGTGTTACAGGTTAGAGGAACGATGCATTCATAAACTGTGTGGGAGAGGCTTCCCAGCTCTCATCCACGTTACATTCACCGCACGTCAGTATCCCCAAGGTCTCAGGTAGAACAAAAGCCCCCAGATTTTCTTTCCTAAAGTCATATTTCTCTGAACAAGCCTTTCTTCTGCTTTTCTGTTGATATTCTGATCTACAGGTGATGTTTTGCGCCAATTAATTTTAAAAAGCTGTTAAAAAGCATCAGGCAAAAAAAGCTCTTTTGACATATATTAGAAGTATGACCTACTAAAGCAGTGATGTGCATGTTTTACGTGTAGTAATCAAAATAAAATACAATGACATAAATGACTTCTGCCTCATTTCTACCACTGTAGCAAGAGCTCCCCAAGCTGCTTACCCGGGGCAAGAGGTCAGACTCCCCTGCAGCGGGATGCTCTGAGGCACCAGCAGCACACACCCACCGCACCACCCAGAAGGCTGCTGCTATTTCAATGCCTACTGATTTTTTTAAAGCAAATCCCTCAGCAGATACACTAGGAATTTGAGTACTTCTGAACAAAGCTGTTTAAAAAGGTACCCGACCACGATAAGGCTTTCTAGGCGAGCCACTGGCCAGAGGAGCAAAGAGAAAAGCGATAGCGAAAGCAGCAGCAGTCTCCTGTGTTTTACTACAGCTACCCTCACAGGAGGTAAGACATTTCACACGCTCCAACAACCGAATATAGGTAATTCTTTTACAATCACACATGTTCAATTCTGTGAAAAGTTGCCATTAATTCAATTTAACATATAGCCATGTCATATCCTAGCTATATTAACATCATGTTCCCAATCTCGCAGTGTTTCGGTCAAACTTTCAGTTAACGAATTTATGTCTTGTTACTGAAATAATGTATCAAGATAAACTGATAGGAAAAATAAACACAACAGGGTAAGGTTAAAAGCAATTTTTCTAGGTGAGATTCTGAAAGTATACGTGAATATTTTAAAATAAGTCCAAGCAGTAACTCGCAACTAACTTCATCAAAAGATATTTCTGAACTTAGAAAACTGAGTTTCAGTATTACTGGAGCTCTGTACTAATTCCAACCTCTCCTTTTTTGAGCTCTCTTTACAAAGACATATTTAACTTTTCAGTAATTAATTCTCTAAGTGTTTGAAGGGAAGGGAAGAACTGCAAAGGAAATGGATCTTTAAAAATCAGCTAGGTATTTTACCAGGAGGAGTAGATTTTTAATAAACAGAAGGATTAGTTAGAACATTCAGTAATGTCCCCTCTCATTTTGTGCCCTTGTGGATGGACTTCAGATGTGCTTCTTTTTAGCATATTTGAAATCCACAGTCAGGAAGTTTTTATAGTGTCTTCTGACTGTGAAACGTTAGCTAGAATACCCAAAACAAAGGAGTTAGAAAGCAAATTGCAGTTGCTTATTTAAGCCTAAGAAATTTATTCTCTAAATTAATGTTATCTGAGAAAGGCAGGCCATGAAGGCTGCTGAGGAATAACCAGGATTATTCCTGTAGACACGCAGTTTTTTGCCTCTTTCCAGTTTGGTTCAAACCCGAATTCAACTCTTCACAAAGAGCACTTGAAATGGGGACAAGCGAACGTGTCATTTCACCGTGAGGTGGAACAGCGAAAGCATGTAAATCTGCTCAGGCTAAAGAAAGACCAAACTCACATGACACTGGTTTAAGCCTTAAGTCCTACTGAAGCATGCATTTAAAAGCCTACATCAAGTCCGTTAAAATAATTCAAGACATCATCATCTTCTAATTTAACCGGGGGGGGGGGGGAGGGGGAAGAGGCAGGGATCTCAGCCTAAAATTTCACCTCCCAGCAGAAGCCACTTGTGTCCCTGCGGCCGATACCTCCGCACCTCACAGGGCGAGAAGCACAACGCTGCCTGAATGGACACACGGGGACGGGGGGGCTCAGGTAGAAGGGACTGAACACGGAGCTGCCAAACAACTCGCCCTAATAAGCACCCTAAACTCAAGAACAAATTAGCGATGTGACATTTCAAAAGCTCTCCTGCTGCAAGAGAGCAACCTCAAGTGCTCACAGCAGCAGGAATTTTTCATCTTGCTCGAGGTTTACCTACAGTTACAAAAACCTACAGGTACAGTGAATGCTGAGACTGGAGATCACTGAACAACCTGAGAGGTTTTTGTTCAATGTAATTAAGGCCTGGCTACAATTTGCAGATAAAAAGAAGTGGTAAAAGTGCACACAGTTGAGTATTTCCATACCAGAAATTTTTACATGTACACGGTTTCAATTACACAACTTTGAAAATATGCTATTCGAACTGCAACTCCTATTTTTGCTTTGCATGTTATCCACATAAAAGAGCTGCACACTGTTGTGGCACTATTAATTTGGAAGGAGCAGATGACTCAAATCTTATTTTTGATAGAAAGCTGCAAGATGCCTCCAATGAGACAAAGGTAATCACACTTTAATAGCTGCTCTTGTAATTAAGCCATATCATAAAGTGTCAGAATTACAGAAAAGCAGGGCCAGAAGGGAATTCAGAAGGTCATCCAGACTCCTTCCTACCCCCTGCTTCAAGCTAGCATCAACCATTAGCGTGCCCTTCCAAAACTCCACATGCAGTAGAAAACAAGACAGCATTTCACCTAACATCTGTAGCCTCTAAGTACATAAAAGGTACTATCAAAGCTTTGAGAAATATTTAATACAAAAATTCAGGTCGCAAAGAAGCTCATTAAAAAAAAAAATCTGCAAAAATTCAAATAACACAGAACTGATGCAGAAGTGAGGACGCTGGGCGGTAATTCCAGCATTCATAAAAACACCTTAAAAACTAGGAAGTGCAGCGCACACAGCACAATAGTAAGGTCTAATTTGACTACCATGGGCTAATTAATAAGAAGGCAACTCGCTAACTTCCATGATAGAATGCAAAACAGATGCCATTCCCTCCTGAATAAATGTTTCGTAAAGGCAATCAAGGAATTTGAAGAGGTGGAGTTACCTTAATATTGTCGCACCCCCCTGGGAATACACATTTGCCTGTGCTTGATAATACCCAACGAGCAGAATTATCTCTCCAAGACATATTGTCACAAAGTATTGCTTAACTGGCGCTTTTACTTAGTCTCCCTTATTTGTAAAAATACATACACCCGCAGTAAACGTGAATTGTGTTTTGTAGCACTGCTTTTCAACACTCTGTAACCATGCAATAAAAGCCTACAGAAGGCATCAAAGTTTCAGAGCTGGGATTCAACATGAGGGAACACAACCAACTTGAAAAATAATCACTCTCAGCATTCAGAAACACCCAGCAGCACGTTTCTGCACACACACCAACTCCAGACACAACCTCCTCCTGCACAAAGGCACCTCGTTGGCCTGAGAGGAGAACACTGCCACCTCCACCTGCACTGCACTACCATCAGGATGAGTGCATGCTACCTGGCTGACTCAGGAGGCCCTCGTGTCACAAGACAGCCACAAAGCTGGTTGTAAAATATAATTTCCTACAGCTGTGAGTCAGTGACAGGATCCTACCAAGACATGTGCCCCGGTGCATCAGGCCAGTCTCATGAAGCAGGTAAGCTGTCGGCATTGCTCATGGCAAATAAAAAAGTCACTTCTGCAACCAGAACAGGCACCACGCTTATTGTAATTCTCATGGTATTTCTTGGTCTTTTTTCTTCTCTCCAGCTCAGTACATGTGCCACACCACAAGGTATCAGGCTGTACGTATTAACCAAAGTCACACAGTGTCTGACAGAGCCAAAATCTGCTCTTTACAAGTATGTAGATGAGGAGGTGCGAGCTCAGGATGTGACACTTCCTCTGTCACTGTAGGGTTTCAGGAGCTCCTAGGGCTGAAACGAAGACGCGTTTCCTGGCGATGCGCTGCCACGCTGAAAGGAAAACACTGGGCCTGGCCTGGCTTGTGATAGGTGAGTTAAAAAACCGCACGCACAAAAAAGCTCCGCAGTATCTCGATGCTAATCAAATGTCATTTCTGATCTGCATTTAAACTGCTTCTCCCAGCACTGTTACTCGCCTCCCTGGAACGAAGGCGCCTAGGTCACGTCGCTTAATCTTTGGCTCACCAGGCGAACGCAACGGCCCCGCTCTCCTCAGGCAGCACACAGCTTCGAAACACACCACACGCACCCAGCGCGAGCGCTCCCCCCAAAAAAATGTACGTTATATTTAAGAAAACAAACCAGAAACACCGAACGCTTCCTAGTTTCAGGACCAGCAGCACGTCACAGAGCGGCAGGGGACAGAAAGCACGAAACACTTTTTTTTTATGACTATTATTTTGTGTCACTGGAGATACAGATCGCGCTGCGTCAGCGGACGGCGGGGGGGTCCCGCACGGCCCCGGCCCTGCGGGGGGGGCTCCCAGAAGAGGCCTCGGCGCTGGGAGCCCCGAGCGGCCGGGCCGGGCCCCGCAGGCAGCCGGGGAGGCCGCGGCCCCGCTCCCGCCCGGCCGCCGCCGAGCCCCCCGCGGAAGCCGGCGCCGGCCCCGCCCCGCCCCGCTCCGCTGCCCCCCGCCTCGGTACCTGGGCCGCGGCCTGGTGCCTCCTCGGCGAAGCGTCCGTGTCCGGCGGGGCCTGCCCCTGCCCCTGCCCCTGCCCCTGGCGCGGCCCAAGCGCCCGGCTGCGGCTCCGGCTCCTCCGGCGGCTGCAGGCAGAGGCGCGGCCCGGCCCCCGCCCCCCCCGGCCCGCGGTGCTGCTGCGCCGCAGCGGCCCCGTCCCTGGCGCCCGTCCCTCGGCCGGCGGCGGAGCGCGGCGAGCAGCCGGCGGCGGCGGCAGCAGCGGCGGAGCGCGGCCTCTTCCGCCCGCCCGCCGCCCGCCGCCGCCCCCTGGCGGAGCGGAGGGACGAGGCCGCGGCCGCCGCCCCGCTCGGGCCCGGCCTGAGGCGGGCGGGACGGCGCCGAGAGGCCCGGGAGGGGCAGCGGGGCAGGGCCCCTGGTGCAGCCCCCAGCCCCATCCAGCCTGGCCGCGGGCACTGCCAGGGATGGGGCAGCCACAGCTCCCCTGGGCAGCGCCTCGCCGCCCTGTGTGGAGAAGTTCCTCCCACCGTGTAGAGCGAACCAAACAAACCCTTGTGCTTGTTCCCTCGTCTATCACTATCTGCCCATGTAAAAAAAAAACACACACACACACAAAAAAACACTCCCCATTCTGTCTGTAAGCTCCCTTCAGGTGCTGAAAAACACTCCCTCAGCCCTAGAGATACCGAGACTCTTCCAGGAGAAGCAGCCGTCAGCAGCTCGCACACGCACTGCTGAGGCCACCAGAGCCCTGACAGCCATGCCGGGGCCTCCATCCTCACCTGGCTGAGGCGCAAGGGACGCCTCCCGCCCTGCCCTACCAGGTTAAGGCACTGAGGTTTTTGTGAGGCTCCGTGTGTGCGAGGGCAGGCTCCAGCTGTTTCTGTGTCCCTGGCAGCTAACACCACTGCATTACCCCCCTGTGACAAACACAGGATAGCTTGGGTGGAAGAAAGCCGCATACATCCCAACAGTCATCAAGCTGATGTTGTCCATTAGAACAGTATAATGCACAACGTGATTCTAAAACAGAAAAATATGTTTTTATGGAACAAGTCATTAATTTCTTTCAAGCTATGATTTGAACACTTGCACCTGCGGGCCTGATGTATTACTGCTGTATGGCAATTTGGGACTCGCTGGCCTGGTTTTCTGAAAAGTCCTTAAGCTCCTCACGCTCTGCTGCGCTGTACATCTCCAGCTGACAGTTTCTATCTTCAGTTTCTTTTTAATTACCTCTGCCATGTTAGATTTCTTCACATTACTCTCCTGTAGCTTGCCTGTCACATCACCGGGAAAGTTTTTGGTTGGAGTTCTCAGTGTCATTTTTTTCTGCAGAAGAATGTTACTGCTTTGAACTCTGTGTGTTATGCCTTGCCTTTTCTGCCTTTAAAAGAAAAAAAAAATGTGTCAGGTGGGCCAAGCTGTCCCTTGCTCTCCCACACGTTCCTTACCTGGACACAGCACTGGACACAACAACTCTTACTGTGGGGTTTATTGCATTTTGGATTGAAAAGGCAGCCCAGCACTTCTGCTGCTGTCCCTGTGCAGAGAGGTCCTGCAGAGCAGCCAGTCCCCCAAATCCCTGCTGGTCTGGTGCCCTCCACTAGAGACAAGCTGCAGGAGCAGGAAAGGAAGAAGTGGATATGAGGAAATGAGACATTTGGTTTTCTTGCCTGCCTGGTTCATATGGTTCTCCTGCCCTGCCTCTGGCAACCTGCAGCACCAGAGCCAGGTGAAGGTCTGCAGGGAGGTGTGAAGGCTGATTTTCTTCCTTCTCCCTCTAGGGAAAGGCAACCAGAGATTTGTTTGTGAAAAGAGTAGAAATGGGAAGTAAAACATAACTCTCATCTTGAGTGGAGTGAGGATGTATTCAAGCCACCAGGAGGTGACTGGGCAGGTGAAAAGTGAAAGCGATTTCCATAAGGGCACCTGAACTGGCACAGTGGGGTTTCCCTGTGGAGCTGCACTTATACACTGCCCTCGGGAACCTTTGCCCCTGCGCACTTCTCTGCCCTGACACCTGGCAGATGTTCCCTTCCTCTAAGCTAGAAGTTTACTAAATTAAAAATAATAATAATAATAATAATAAAAACACTCAAGCATAAGCAAAAATAGTTTTCATAGACAACACATACAATCACCAAATAGACAACAAATATGACCACCAGCTGCCTCACTGGGCAGCAACCAGAGGGCCAAGAAAACAGCAGCTCAGCAGAGCTCAGCTGGTGTGCCCCAGCAACATGCTTGGCCACTGCATCGCCCCACGTGTTGCATTTCTGGATCTACGTGTATTCTGCACTAACTGCGTCTTTTAGTATCCTGACAGCAACCTCCAGTATTTCACAACCCAACTTCTCGCCCCTGTGAGACAGATTTTTCATTCCTGGATCCTTTGCATGCCATCTGCCTGTAACATCCCGCTCTCTTCCCTGTTGAAAGTCCCCTTGTTCACCTCCAGTTTCAGACTTGATAGTTCCCAGGGCTTCACTGCCATATACAATATACATAACATAATATACATAATATAGCAATATACAGCATTACAGACAGAAGTATGTCAAAAACAAACAAACAAACAAACAAAAAAACAGGGAGAAATCTTATGTGTACTGAGATGGTCAGGGTGGTGGTGGTTGGGGAGACACTTAACGATACAGGTATTCCCCTTCTTTGAGGAACAGTAGCAGTGGCATTTCCTGGTAATGAGGGCATTTAAAAAAAATAAATAAAAGCTGATTAAGACACAAGGAGATTCCTGTCACTGGCTCTGCTACAGAGAGATCTCATGGAACAAGTGAAAGGCTTGGCCTCCTGTGCTGCCCACGTGAAGAGGCCTGCTGGGTGGGCTGTGTCCTAGGGCTCAGGCTCAGAAGAACATTTCTGACCACACCTGTAACCAGCCCTGTGCATGGCAGTGTCAAAGTGCACATGAATTTGCATTCAGCTACGCAGCCGGGCAGCTGCAGCAGCGCTGCGGCCGTGGGGATGGTTTCCTGAACCACTGGAAGGTGGGGCAGGGAAAAAAAAATCTCCTTGTGATGACAGCTCGTCTCACAGACAGACAGGGCAGTTCTGGGCCTGAAGTGCGCGGTGGGACATGCCTCTCGTGCGGGTGACAAGGTGACAAGGCCTCCGGGTATGGTTTGCCAGGCTTGTCTGGGCCCACAGCATGCGGTCGGCAAAATGTTGGCAGTTTGTGTATCCTGCTTGTGAGCTGGAAATTATTGTTCTCACAGCCAACATCGAAAGGGTGTGTATGTCTGAGCTCGAATTGTTAACCTGTAATTATGTTAAAAACATTCAAGTTTAAACAGATAATATTCGGGGTAGCGAAGAGAGAGAAGAAAGAATTAAAGACAAGGACTGGCACAGTAATTCAATGCCAGCACTTGGAAAATCCATGTAGACACTGCTGCTTTACAAGTGACCGCTGGAAAAAAGTCCACACAAGTGATGTGTTCAGAATAATTACCATCACCATGTGGTGTACTTCGGGGAAATCCGTGAGCAGAGAGACCATGAGTTTTCCAAGCTCTCAGAAATTAAATTCAACATGTGAGAGATCTTTTAGTACAGTAGCCATTCACCAATTCACACCATTGACCGAGACATTCGTTGTGAATTGCTTAATTCTTGCAAATTAGGAAGTGAATAAACATGACTAAAAAAAAAAAAAAACAAAAAAAAAAACAGCAGCTGGGGCCAGTACCACCACCAGCACCAACACCCTGCGATTTGCTGCAGGGCCTGGCGCTGCCAGACACACCGGCTTTCCCTCCCACCAAACGTGGAGCCGAGCTGACGAGCCATTAACATGCATTTCACAGCAGTGATGTAACGGCACCCAACCTCCTTCTGCTGTCTCTGACAAAAAAGCAAGAACCTCGAGCTGCTCAGAGGCGGCGGCGGTGGCCTCCTGCACCCTCTCCCTCCAGTTCCCACAGCCCTGGGGTCCCAGTGCCACCGTCTCTGAGCCCCGGAGCCCAGAGAGAAAGGAGGAAATGGGGGAAGAGCCACACCGGCTGGTTAAGTAAAAGCAGAGAAAGAGAAGTTGAGAGCAAGGAAGCGAAGGGCAGCGCATGTTTTGAATGTGGTTTTTAGTTGCACTTTAGCTCTGGTTCTGCTGCTGACACTTTGTGGTTACTTTCTTCCTTAGTTAGAGACACAGGTGCTGCCACAAAAGCAGGGATCAGGGTGTATTTCTTAATACCTCTGCTGCACCCTCCTCTTCCTTAGTACTTCACGCAGGGGAAGCAACTCACCTTTTTTTACCTTGCTCTGACATCTCCCTCATTTCGTTAGGGCAGAGGCACTGGGAACAGGAGCGAAGGCGAGCAGCAGGCAGGTAGCCCAGGAAGGTGGAAACAAATGCCTTTACCTTGTGCATCTCGCCACTGCTCCACATGATACGGAGATGTTCCTGCTAACTACATGGCCAGTCCCACAGTCGCACAACAGGCATGACACAGAGCATTTGAAAAAATAATCCGGGTCTTCTCTCCAGCTGCCTTGACACATATACAATGAAGAAATAACATAAACCAACATCCGGTTTATGATTTAGTTCAAGACTGCTTGGGCATGGGGACGCTCTGATAGAATTCAGAGACCAAAACCCAGGTTCATGTTCCCTGACAAAGAGTTTAATGGAAAAAGCTTTGGGAAGAAAATATTAGCACCAGAAACTACTGCAGTTATGCTAAATATCTTCTGCTTAAAGTCTGGAAGAAAAAGAATTGAGTCTTTCCACAGACTGTGGAACAGGCCAAGCTGAAGAGGCTGAATTTAATCACCCAGGTTTCCAAAGTGCCTGTGACTTTTCCTGAGGCTGCATTTCAGCTCTGCTACTGGCTGTGGATGTTCACTGCTGACTCCAGAAGCTTTTCTCAAAGAAACACGTACTGGTGAGCGTGTTGTCATCTTTCAGTTCATTCAATTCACATGTAAAGAACAGACCAACACCCCCAAAAAAGCATATTTACAGGAGAAAGCTCAAGTAAATGTAATTCTCATCCATATCAGGATTATTTTTTTTTTTCTCAAGAGAATGGTATAATTTGTCCTCAATTCAAGCTGCCACTTCAGAATTAAAACCTATTTTTAAAACATTATTGCAAATCACAGGAATTGAGGATAGCCTGTAAAGGCTGTCAGAAACAGAAAACACAATTGCCAGAAGAATCATAGGAAAAAAGCCTGTTGCAAATTCATTTCCTGGACAGCAACAATAGCTGTATGTCATGTCGCAAAACCATGTCATTTTAATAAACTTTTTATTGCTGTAGAACAATTGAAAGCTATCTATAAAGTGCAGCATCCATTCCAGTCAGAATCTACTACTAAAGCCAAAAACAGATTTCCATCAGTTGGTAAACATGAAAGGAAATAACAGCAGTCTCTCTGAAGAACAATGCCATGACAGAATGTATTTCCTGAATAAAAGAAGGAAAATAAATAAATAAATAAATAAAACCACACAGTGAAATACATCCATTAATTCAATCAAACTGGAAGCAAATACATCTACAAATCCCCAATCACATGTGAAAGAAATAAGGCTGTGAATGCTGGTGAAAGGATTAAAAGGGTGTTCCATCTATTGGCTTCTACCTTTGGGTTTTCTCCTTTTGACACTTGCACTGGAAGCAGTGGCAGAACACAGCGGAGCTCCGTAAATCTGTGCAGGGGTCCCTTTGGTGGGTGGCATCCCCAGTCCCCACTGCCCCCTGCAGGCTCCCACAGCCGCCTATGCCCCCACAGATGCCTTCTGACCATAGAACCCATAGAACCATAGATTATCCTGAGTTGGAAGGGACCCATAAGGATTATTGAGTCCAGCTCCTCGCACCACACAGGTCTACCCAAAATTTTAGACCATGTGACTAAGTGCACAGCCCAAACGCTTCTTCAGCTCTGGCAGGCTTGGTGCAGTGACTACATCCCTGGGGAGCCTGTTCCAGTGCGTGACCATCCTCTCGGTGAAGAACCTCTTCCTGGTGTCCAGCCTGAACCTCCCCTGCCTCAGCTTGACACCGTTCCCATGGGTCCTATAATTGGAGACCGAAGAGACTGGTGCCTGCCCCTCTGCTCCCCCTTGTGAGGAAGCTGTAGGCTGTGATGAGGTCCCCCCTCAGCCTCCACTTCTCCAGGCCCACTGCCCTCAGCTGCTCCTCATATGTCTTCCCCTCTAGGCCCTTCACCATATTCATCGCCCTCCTCTGGACACTCCAACAGTTTTTGTACTGTGGTACCCAGAACTGCAGACAGTGCTCGAGGTGAGGCAGGACCAGCACAGAGCAGAGCAGGACAATCCCTTCCCTTGACCGACCAGTGATGCTGTGCTTGGTGCACCCCAAGGTACGGTTGGCCCTCCTGGCTGCCAGGGCACACCGCTGGTCATATCCAGCTTGCTGTCACCATCACAGATGCCTGCATGACCATCATCCCTGAGAGCTGCCACACAATTCGGCTATGCCGGTATGCCAAGGCTGAACACCAAGGGTCATGAACTGAAGGCTCACCATCCAGGGGAATGACTGGTTTTTGTGACTCTTCTTCAGGGTCAGTGTTACCAAAGTGACTGCTGTTTCTCAGATGTGCTGATACAGAAACGCTCCTTTGGAAAGCCAAACTCCACAGAAAGGCAGACACGTGTGCGCTGTCATCCCGTGTCCTGTTGCCTTGGCAAAAAAGGAAGGAAGATGAACCAGCACGAGGAGATGGCAGAGATGCCCATTAGACAGGAAGGGTGAAAGCATCCCTGCTGGCAGCCCCACTGTGTGCATCCCAATCCCCTTTCTGTGTCCCCTGGGGCTGGAGACTGATTTCTGCAGTCCAGGGCTCGGTCCTCCTCTTGGCACGCTGTTCTTTTTTGTTTTAAAGAAATTATGAGCTGTATTTGCTAATGTTCATATTTAAATAGTGCCCATTACGCTTTGAAGTCCACACCCTTTGGATAATACTGCTACACACTTACTTAGCATTTTACACCTTCAAAGGTCTTTACAGAAACTAACTAATTAGCTCTCACGGCAGAAAACTGCTACAATGAATGGCACTAGATTAGTGCTGTTGCATGTGGTTCAGCTGGATTTGGTCTGCTGAGGGGCTGAGTTAACAGAAGAGCCATTGCAGTTTCATTGAAACATATCTGTGTTGAGAAATTAAAAATAGTGTTTTGACTTTTTTTTTTCTTTGGATATGGAAAAGCTAGAACAAGATCAAGCTCTGCATTTTGCCTGCACAGAGCAGCTCATGGAGCATTACACACCTTTGTATGGGTCCTCACTGCCCTCTCACCCATGGGAGATGTGCTCTCCCTTCCTCTGAGCCGCTGTGTCCCAGACCCCTTGGTTCCTCCAGACGAATAAGAAATCCTCATACCTATAAAAAAAAAGACAGCCTCCTAGTTATACTTGGAGAGGGAAAAAAATAAGACAGTATTTATAAAATAAAAAGCAGTATAAAACCAGTAAAATGACAGTACAAGAATTTTTTATCAGCTTTTTGCTCTATTTTGGTTAAAAATAGAATAAAATTAATTAATTAAAAACACATATAGACACAAAAAATGACCTTAAACACCAGAATGTGATTTTATGTGCAATCCAGGCTGGACTTGGCTGATGAAGAAAATATGCCCTGCAGCTCACGCCCTCCCACCCTAAGCTCTTGTGCTTTCTGCTGCCCCCAAAGCCAGCAGGGGCTGCGTGAAAACTGAGCCTGAGAGGCACACAAGCCCTAACCACGCGTTTCCTCACATCCTCCGGTGCTGCAATCGCAGCCCCACAGAACCAGAAGTGAGCAGCACGGAGGAAGTGCTGTTTATAAGCCCACTGCCTTCCTGGCTGTCCTTTCGTGCCCTGTGGCAGATGCTGAGGCGCGGAAAGCCTAGCACAAGGCGCTGGCACGAGGAATGCGAGGTGCTCGTCCCGCAGAGAAGGAGCGGTGACCATCCTCATTGCCTCCATTGTGCTGACAAGGGGGTTTGTGCCGAGGGCCAGGATGTGGTGTCAGCACGTGTATACACGTGCGCTATAAAAAGAAAGCTGCTCTTGGCCTGTGGCCAAGCCAGGGTGAAAGCTGAATTTACCCAGTCACAGAAGAGAGACTTATCTCATGAAGGTGAAATGGCCCCAGCTCCTTCTGCAGGCCTCAGGAACCAAGAAGCCAAGGAGAAACGGGCTGTGTGGGATGTGCAAAGGCTGCTGTGGGGTGCCAAGCTCTGGTTTCTGACATCTGGGGAGCAAGGACACACGTGCAGAAATTGCTGTGAAAGTGAAGCTGGCTGGATAAACCAAGCACTTGCTGCATTATAGATGAGGCCTGTTATCAGGTGACATCTGGCAAAGTTAGACGCACAGAGTGTGAAAAAGGCCAGAGCTGCCCTTCTCAACAAAACAAATCCTGGGATGCCCAACGAGGAAAGCTCAAGAACTGCTTCGAGCTCTCCCTCGAAGCCCCCTGCTCTTTCCACCAAGCTTGGCTCTTTGCCCCCATCCACTGCTGCAGTACAGGCAAGAGGTTAGGCCTTATCAGAGTGTCACCACCCACACAGCTTATCAGATTTTCTTCTTCCTATAACTCACTCTTGGCCTAAGACTCCATGTTGCAACCAGCAGCTTTCTGGCTGCAAAAGCATGAGATAAGACTTCCTCCAGAGGCAGGAGCTCTGCTAACCTGCCAGACAGGAGACATGTTGAGCAACAGCAGGAACATCAGCTGATCCTTAACACAAAGACTGGAGGGGTGTGTGTGAAAGAAGAGCTGAAAATTACTCAGCTGGTACCTGCCTTGTAATTATTTCCTATACCGGGAGTCCACTTCTGAAGATGGTACAGTCAGCTGATACTGAGCATGCGGAGCTGGGGCTGGTGAGGTTTGAGCATTCAGTAAAGGAGCTGGATTGAGACATGCCAACAGCATTTCTAGAGATGCCCAATACCTCTTCTGGAGCTGGACCTCCAGAATGGCGAAATACTCACATGGCATAGGATAGTACTGCATGATGTCCTCTCTCTGTCCACCTAAAAATGCTTTTGGAGCAGGAGAACCTCTATACCATGATGAATTGCTTTGGACATTGTCCAGACTGGCCCCCACTTGACCATGGGCGTCACGGTTGGTAACAAGAACATGGTCTTCTCCAGAGGTGATGAGGCTGAGAAGAAGTGAGTCTCTGGTGTTAGCAAGGTCTATTCCAAGACACTGGCCTGAAGGACAACAAGGACACCAAGAAGGACCATATGTGGTGGACACCACCACTCCTGTGTCCAATCTTGGATGGCATCTGCTGCATCAGGGTTGTGCTATCAGGCAACTCTCATTGTAGTCATAAATGACCACAAATACCCTTCTCCACACCCCAGGTAGAGGCTTTGCTTTTCTGCCCAGCTTGCTTGCAGTGCTCTCCTGGCCTGGGCGAGCTTCTGGACACACGGTCCCCACACAGACCCTGCTGTGCCTGTCAGAGATGGCAGATCACGGGTATAATGCCCTGGACCAAGGCCAATCTGGAAGCACAGCCCCGGTCCCCTCTGGATGACCTAGCAGAGAGCAGTCTCTGAGCAGTGTTGCCTGGCGTGCCTCTGCTCAGGGAGCCACCCTACCTGCCCAGGTGCTGCCTGCACCTCCTGCCCCGCCGGCCCAGCCTCCCCACTGGTATGCCCCGCTCCTCCTCACATTCATCTCCTGCTGTAATGCCCTAGGAGCAAACTGGCCTTGTGCAACACGGGAACTCAGTACAGAGTGCTTATGATGTACAGCTGTCAAGAAACCGCCAGATTTAAACTTTCTAATGACTAGAGATAACCCTCCACATTTTTAAACCTCAACTTTGAGCCAGAACCGACCTTCAGCCCCCCCCCCCCCTCCCCCCCCCCGACTAAAAGGCATTTAGTCCCTGAGACCTGGCACCCATCCACTTAACCGGGGATGAACCCAATCCGGATGCAGCCCCAGCACAGGGCATGGTGCAGTCATGTGCATGTGCAGGCCTCCTGGTGCCATGTCCCCAGCTCCACGCCAGGCCGCAAGGTACAGCTTGGGTGTGGGCCTGCACATGGGTCTCTGTGACACACGAGGGGTGTGCAGCATCCTTACTGCTGCCTGGGGGTCTCCTGCCCGCTGAGGGGGCTCCTTTTTCCCCATCTGTGGTGTGGGGGGACTCTGTTGTCACAGGGGTGTTTGCAGGAGAAACATGGGGGACATCTACAGGGGGTTGAGCTGTTTGCCCTAGCAGCTGACTGGGCAGCTCTGAATCTGTATTTAGAAATATATGTTCCTAACATTTTTGTTTTCAATTAAAAAAAAAATAAAAATCTTTCCTCAAAATCGGTTTCACAGGGATCTTGCAACTGGTTCTAATCAATGGGTTGTGGATTTTTTTTTAGCTATCTTGGCAGCAGCCCTCATTTAAAAGCAATTGGCCCCACATTCATCAGCCCACACTGCGCTGGGGATGTGTCGGGCTTGTGCCCCCTCCTGAATCTGCCACAAAGCCACACGCTCCCATCCGTGTGTGCCCAGGGAGCCGTGCTGGCAGTCTGTGTGCAGGCACCTGTAATGGGTCTGATTTACGGCAGCGTTTGCTTCCTCAGCAGGCTTCATGCTCTGAAACCCAGCAAGCCTTGTGCAGTGCAGATGCAGCTCGCCACCTGCGCCTGCCTGGCAGCCTGCGCTGTTTAACTCTTCCCCGCTTCGCACAACGTCACCTGGTTTCCAGCCTATTCGGGCACTTACCAGTTCCTCAGAAAGCAGCATGGATTTGATCTCTCCTTCCCGACAGGTAAATCCAGCAGGGGATGCCAGGGCAGCCACCATGGGAACGGTCCTGCGCAAACTGCCGAGAGCGATCCCACAGCCTGTGGGGAGAGGTGTGAAAGTGGGAAGGATTGGACCAGGAAGACAGCAGTGACAATCTTCAAGTTGGTCAAATCGAGGCTGTTGGGCAGAAGGATTCTCCTCGTATCATTTCAAACAAGGACATCTGCAGCCTAATCTGCAGGTCAGCTGAGATGTGGCTGACCTCGAGCACCTCAAGGAAGAAGATCTTTGGCCACCAGGACGTGGAGAGGCTGCGGGAGGGGAGCACCAAGCAGCCCCACGCTGCCCCTGAGAAACCCCTAGGGGCTGGAAATGACGAGATGTCGCCGCCACCCCACAGGCCAGAGACACCCTCTCCTGGTGCGTCGGCCTCCCACCCACAGCACTGGTGGCCCCACAGCACACCCCTATGGCTCTCACACCGGCCCCTCTTCAGTAAGGGCTGCTCCAGGCCTGTGTGATGTCCTCCTGCCCAGGAACGGCTTCCTACGGAGCCAGGCCTCAGCACGCAGAGCATGAGGAGCAACAGCAGGTCATCTGCGGGACACGGATGACACCTGATGGGAAGAGACCTTGGTGGCACCACCCCTGCAGCTGCACACAGCTTCACGCGGAGGCTGCGAGGGGAAATTTGCCTTGCAATTAGAGGCACCGAAAGCAGGAGGCCCCTTCCAGCGGCCATCAGCTGCCCCCAGCCCCGCCAGCACCAGGCAAGGGCTGCCACCCCTCCCTGGCAGGGCTGGAGGCCGCTGACCATTTCTCTGCTGGTTATTAGATTGTTCACGGCTCTCAGGTTTGTTTGAATAAGCTCTTTTGTCCTATAGAGCTTTCCCACGTCCCTTCAGTCGCTAGGCAGTCGCGTGTCCCAAGTCAAAGAGGAGCCGTGGCCACAAATTCCTAAAGAAACTTTTTTCAGAGCAAGACATCTGCGTTGAAGGGAATCTGCCAACATCTGCCACACTTTCCCCATTTTCAAGAGCCTTTATTTCCATCTTAAAAAGTGCAGGAACAGATGTTAAAAGTTGTTTTCTTTCTCCAGGGTGTGAAATGTAGACAAATAGCAAAAAAGAAAACTCCAAGCAGCACCGAGCCCTTTCTCTTCCCTTTTTTTGGAAAGCTCGGGAAAAAAGGGAGGCTTTGTTTACTAAGGAGAATCCCCTTTTCAGTGAAACCTGGCAGTGCGCAATGCAAAAGTAAAGCAGGAATTTGCAAAAAGCTTCCTTTAATGCTCTGTGCTCATTTGCATTTGCCTGTTTGGTCCATACAATCCCGAGCACAGATGTCGTGCTTCCCCCTGAAAGGCAGGGCAGCTCTCCCGCCTGTGCACCCCCTTTGCTTTGAAAATAAAGGGTTTTGCTCTGAATGAGAGGTGTAAAATAACCGTTTACAGCAAAAGCTGCTCTTCTTTTTCAGTGAAATGCTGTCTTACAAATGAACCTTGAAATGAGCTCACCAAGAGCAGAGGCCGGCAGGGCAGTGAGCGCTCTGCAAGCAAGGGTATCCCCAGAGTCTTGGGGCTCAGCTGGGGCTCTGGGGCTGGGCACCGGGGGCCATCAAGCTGCTCCCCGCCATCCTCAGCACCTCCCCTCAAACACACACAGCCTGTGCTTGTTTCAATGAACCAGTGCAGCCCCTTGCAAAAGAGCCCTGAGGAGCCAGATGCATCTTTAAGGTCGCTGCCAGCCCCAGCCATTCCATAAAGGCAGGTCACCAGCATTGGGGCTGGGGCAGAAGGGGGCCCCAGGCAGAGGGGGGAGGTTTCAGAATGGCTATGAGGGGACACAGCCCACAACTTCGCACTCCCAACCCTCCTTGCCAGTCTCTGGAGAGTGGAAAATCCTCCAGTTTTCTGTGCAGGGGACAGATCTGATATAAGGTGCCCATCCCTGCTCCTGTGCTGCATCACCATCACTTGGCACGAAGGACAAACTGTCCCCTCCCATGTCCTCCTCTCCCTGAGAAACAAACTCCATCCCATCTCAGGCTCTCCCTCGTGCACCCTTGCCAAGTAGGGCACTTATAAAACCAAGCAACTGCACCCAGTGCCTGCATTTGACTAACAACCCCTGCCTGCAAGATACCACGTCTGGGGACATGTTTTCATCAGGAGCCCAGGCAGCAGTGCGTGCAGACACACTGCAGTTATGTTTGCATTCACACACATACAAACATACACCCACACAGTGTTTAAGCAAGGGACGTGATGTCCTTGCTTTTATTCCTGGGGTACATCACCACCTACGGTTGAAGGGGTGGAGTGAGGGCTCTGCAGCTGCAGCGCTGTGCCGGGCGATGGGAAATCCCAAGAGCAGCTCGTGGTGGCTTTTGGTGCTTCTGAACCACTCGAGCTTCTTCCTGTCCATTTAAATAAGGTGGCACATTCAACACCACCCTAAAGGGCTTCACCTCCGTGACTCAACAGGACACTGCCAGATCCTGCTCATTAGCAAAGCAACTGTCAGAAAGCAAAAGCACAGTCATGAAAGATGCCTTCATACTCCCCCTCAAAACCAGACAGAAGTGAGGAAGCATAAAGGCACATTCTCATCCTGTGCCAAGTCTGCTTTGAAGGCCCATGTGCTTCCGCACTAGCATTTCAGAGGATTAGAAACAAACAAAAACACCCTCCCCCCCAAAGCACCCAAGACTCCTGGCAGCATGAAAGGGGGAAAAAAGCAAACAAGTAAAAGTCCCACAGAATTAGCAGGACCGAACTCACCTCTAGGTTTGCTTGCATGTGCAATTGTCTGTAAGTTTAATATTAAATACTACACGGCAGTCAAAAATTAGAAGAGCTTCGTATTTCTTACATCTAGCTGCGTACAGCAGAGAATTTGGGTTCTCAAGAGGCAAATGAAGTGCTTTCCCTAGAGGATTTTTTGATGAATACAATGTTTCTGTAGCTGTCTGCTGTCAACAGTTTTTAATCGATCGTCGTTGCCTTGCAATAACAACTCCCAGGAGCAGGAACTGGTCGATCAAGCACTCTATTATTAAATTAAGAGGCTGCTTCAAAGATTTAAAGTGATTGAGGCTCAGGTTAGCAGGTAAAAAGCAGCGCTGGCTCAAGGAGATGCAGGGAAAAGAAAGACACATGGGAGGCATTTTCCCAGGTGTAACTCGACTGGTTCCCAGCTATTGTTTTCCTCCCTGGGAATCTGTGCAAATTGAGCAAGGAGCCACGCAAGCTGCTCAGAGCGCGCCCATTTTGCTTCCCTCCTTCCTTAACAAAAGATCCCTACAAAGCAAAGCTTTGGAGGCTGGACATCTGTCGCCGTTTGGGGGGGCCGGCGTGGTCATTGAAAAGATGCAGTGACCTGTCAGCTTTGATTGATGGCCACAAACCTCTGGGCTCGACCCCTCGTGTGGGAAAAGAAGTCCCGCCAAGGCAAGGCCCCTTTCACATGCTAATTCTGGGTTATAAATACAGCAGAGGAGCAGAGGAGAGGCAGAGAGCCTGTAGGGACAGGGAGCGACCTACTGCCCGAGTGCCTCCTCCACGTCCCTGTCCTCGCAGCGTGCCAGGGCGGCCAGGCTGGATTACAATGACTGCCGCAGCCACAGCCGGCGGCGTGCACAAGCTCTCCAGCACCAAGGAGGAAAGGAAGGTAGGTCCCAGGGGAAGCCCACGCGTGGATGGACGCTGGAACTCGGCAGGTGAACGATGGGGGCTACGGACTTCTAGGAAAGAGAAACACAACATTTGCATCCTCTTATTATACAGATGCTTTCTCTGAATTTAACCCACGTGGGTGTTGGTGTTTTTCTTCTGCTTCCTTTCTCTGCCTTAGAAAGGTTTCTGTCTTTTGGTTTCAGTTGGGTAAGCTGTGGTTAATAGGAGTGTAAGTAAGAGAATTCAGACCTAGCACGGCCCAAAGGACAGGCCCTTACCAGAGCTAGAGACCAGAGCTCCCCATCTGTAACTTGCCGAGTGCCGCATCGCTGCGCGCTGGTTTCACGCAGGGATGTGACCTTCCTGGCTCCAGGGAAGCCCACACAGCCCTGTTAGGCCCTCGCTCCACTGCAGCAGAGAGGTGAAAAAGAAATCATCTGCAATTCTTCCTCCTCCTCCTTTTCTCTTCCTTGCCAGCTAAGGAAGCCTCTCATTGAGCGGAAGCGAAGGGAAAGGATCAATAACTGCTTGGACCAACTGAAAGAGACCGTTGTGGGTGCGTTTCACCTGGATGTAAGTGCTCACTTTTACACAGATTTTGTCCTGCTGATGGGGATTGTTTGGCTTTTGGGGGGACAGGCAGGGGGCTTTGTCTTCTGGGAAACTTGGCATTGCACAAATACATCATGGCCTCTCAGCTGCTGAACTCTCTCTTTATTAGCAGTCTAAACTCGAAAAAGCAGACATCCTCGAAATGACAGTCAAACACCTTCAGAACATCCAAAACAGCAAGCTGATGGGTAAGTGCACCTTCCCTACAGCCCCTGATGCTCAGGGCAGCCCTGGGGGTGTCAGGAGAGCACAGCTCCAAGCCTTTAGCTGGCAGCTTGGCAAAAGCCTCCTTCAAACCTCTTGAGGCCCGAGTTGAGGTCTGGGCTTGGCTTTCACCACTAGATGGGGAGATGGAGCTGAACACTTGGTAACCCACGGAAGCTTTTTCTTCCAGTGCCGGTTTCTCCTTTTGTTCCTTTTTGGCTCTGCTTGCTGGTGGGCAGCAGGATGCTGGGGCGGCCTGGCCAGGCAGCTCATTCCCCGCACCACCTCCCCCTGAACCTTGCAAAGCACTAACATATCATAAAGCCCAAGCGATTTAAATCAGGCTGAAAACGGGGCAGGAAGCAATCTACCTACTCTACTCCAGGAGCCAGTATCTTGGCCTTACAGAATACATTTTTCAGTGTCTCCCAGTGTCTTAAAAGGGCCCCAAAAGGCAGCTATAGACTGGCAGGGAAGCTCCCTGAGATATCCCTGTTCCAGTGGGAAACTCCAGCAGGACACCTGAGCCCTGTACCCCCTCCAGCCTGGACCCCACTGCTCTGACTTGCACCATTTGCAGAGCTTTTGCCTCACCCTGGGAGCAGCAGGGCCCTGACCTGCTGCAGCCCCCCTGCAATGATTTCAGCTGGAAGCTCAGTGTGGTTTCAGCAATAAGCCCCCACAGGGGCCAATGCAGACAGGACCCTATCAAATGTTTTTAAGTTGGACGTGCAGGTTTTACACACTTACCAACTCCAGTTGCCTTCTGTTCAATGCAGCTGATTCCAAAGTGGGTCTTGAAGCTCAGCAGAGGTACAGCACTGGATACATTCAGTGCATGCACGAGGTCCACAACCTTCTCCTCACCTGCGAGTGGATGGACAAGACACTTGGGGCCCGTCTGTTAAACCACCTGCTGAAATCTTTACCGAGGTCTGGTGAAGACACCTGCAAAGCAGCATTAAGATCTTCGAGCCCATCTCAGCAGCCTCTCTTGACGCCAAAAACCCCACTGGGCCCTAAGGGGAACACTCCCAGCACAAATCCATCTCAGGAGCACTTCTACCCAGTGGAGAACAAACAGGCTTTCAAAAATTCATTCCAGCTGCCCTTGCTGTCGGTTTTCAGCCAGGTCGATGCTGTGCCTCCCAGACAGGTCCTGCAGCTGAATTTTTCCCATAATAACCCTAGTATGGGGTCATTAGATATGTGGAGACCATGGTAAAATGTGTTTTCAAATGTTTATCCTAACCTTAGACACTTATGTATGTATCTTATAGATATGTTTCTTTAAAACACTTGTGGAGCAAGTCTGTTCCTGTAGGTGTACTAAAGACCAGGGTACTTCAAGCCGAAGTAAACCTATGTGTAGCCTGCATTGTAGAAGGCTGCTATTATTTTGTATTTATTTAATACATCTAAATTATTGTATAGAATCCTTTCATGTTCTTTAGTGTATATTAATTATATAACTTTCTTGTCTTACATTCCTAAAATAATTATCTTTCTATTAATAAAGAAACAAGACAATGAGCAACAACCCCTCTTACACCAAGCTTACCTCTCGGGTCTCACGTCGCAGCTGAGATCACTTCACCGGATAAAGAAGTAAACAGTCAATTTCTTCTTCCCTTTTTTTTTTTTTTTTTTAATAATAGTATTATTGCGCAACTATTTCAGTTCTGATTCCTGTAACAATGCTGCAATGACTAGAAAAAAAAGAAAGGGAAAGATGTTGTTTAGACGTTTTAGACTATTCAGAAATACTATCTGTATTGCTCACCTTAGATGTGCTGTTTCCAACGCCTGACCATGCTGATACAACTGTTAAATTAGTGAGCTAAGTGTAAATATATGTTACATATTGTTACATTTAGGAATTTTTATTTTGTTTATTCTAAATAAACTTTTGGAAGATAATGATTGATATTTCTCCCAGCCTTGTTCTGTCTGCTCTGAGTACACAATACTTGGGAATCTGCTTTTGTTTTCTTCTTTCACAAATAGTTTTCCTTGAAGCAATTGAAAGTGTTCAGTTTTTTTGACCCTGATGCTTTGTAGAAAAAGCAGCACACGCATGCTCACACACACATACACAAAGAATCACCTGGATCATGGTAATACTTAAAAGTTACAAAAAAAAAAACAACCCACAAACAAGAGTTGGGCTTATGAACCTGGGCCAACACTTGAGGTTTTACTTTTAAGGGAGTTGCAGACAGACTCTGAAGGGCAGAAGGTGAAATAACCTACCAGTAAGATCAGGACAAATCTGCTTAACTTGTTGACAACATTTGGTCACAGTTTTTCAACTCAAAGGCAGTTAAAAGCCCTTCACAGTTAAAAGAAAAGAGCAAGGATCTCTTAAACAAACACTGTGCATACTAAATAATGGATCCCCAGTTCAGAGAGACTAATTATGCAGTGTGATCTATTTGATGATGTGTTGAAAGAGTGAAAAACATCACCTCTGGCTTTAGCATCCTTTTCTGTGAAGCTGTCCCTTTCATCCATCACTCCTGAAGAGCTATTAGAAGTGGTAACATAAGGGTGGTAGGAGCAACAACTGGCTTACATGAAAAGAGGCAGCATTGGTGTGTAGCAGCGCAGATTTCTTGAACTGGAGGGTAAGAAAGCAATTCTGTATGAAATGTAGAACTGCACCTATTTTAGTGCAACCTCAGTTCCCACTCTCTGACTGAAAATAAGGACTCCCCCAAGATGAAATTAACTTTCAGTGAAGGGAACCTCCAGAGGAACAGCAATATAGAAAACACGCCCAAATCACCCCCACCCCACTACAGTGGGGACTGGGGCCAGCCCATGCAAACAGCAGCAGCAAAGTCCACTGGACACTCACAGGTTGTGAAAACATTCAGGCAAAGTGAATGAGGTCCTGAAAGAGGAAAGACATTGAAGACCTTCAGAAATCAGTATTACATATTGCTGAGCTTCAAGAAAGCCCCACCACCACCTCAGCACCCATTTCTGCACCCACTAGAGAAACCTGTACTGCCCAGCACCGAGGTCTGCACACAGCGCAGCAAAGAGGAACAGATCCCAACCCAATACGGGGCCCAAAACTTAACAGTTTTCCTCCTAGACCATCTCAGTAATTCACCTTATCACACGTCTGACAACCTCCCTGTTATGCTGGGAGAGGGGCTAGGAAACATTCTGGTGTGCTGAAAATACTTTGCTATGTTTTGACAGCATCAACTTAAAGACATACTTTCCCCAAAAAGCTGTAAATCCCCAGTGACTGTAATTGTCAGCTATGGTTACTGTGCTGAAAAGAGATCAGTGGGAAATATGTATTTCTCACCATCTCTGCTTGTTTACTTTATGCATTTGAAAATCCTTTGTGGTTAGTGAGTTTTATTATTTCCTGTTTCTAATCGGTAAGGGTTTTTTTCTTTTGTGGGTGTGGAGGGAAGGGTCACATAGCAGCTGGTGAGAGATTTAAAAATAGAAAAGTGAGACTGTAGTGCTTGGCCAACAATCTCCAGGAACAGTTTGAGTGCAAGACACTAATTTGTCACTGCCTTCATTTCCCACCAATGGCCTCGTTTTAAGCCATCTCCATGCCACATACCTACACACAAAACCTGCTTTGGCCAGACAGAATCCTTTGCACAGTCACCAGCTGTCAGGAAAGAAAAAAACTACGCCCTGGTAGCGGTGTCCCAGGGCTGCTGGCTGTGCCACTGCTCAACCCAGAGCTCAGACACCTCCGAGGTCGCAGCACAGCTCCCACCTGGGACTGCAGGCCCAGGGCAGGAGCGGTCTGGAGGCGCAGAGAGCGGGGATGCTGCACACCCAGCTCTTAACGCACACACTGGAAATGGCCATGACAAGCACCCAGACCAGACTCCCCAGTGTGGGTACAGACAGACAGACAGACCGACCTGTTCGCTAGAAGTGGCCACTGGATGCAGCAAATCTCACGCAGCACATGGAGCACACGCAGGGCTGGGAAGCCTGCTGCAGATCCCTGGGCTTTGCTTGTCCCCTTCCAAAGTGCTGATCCAAATGGGCATCTGTGAACTGAGCATTAAAGAGCAGAGGCAGTCACTAAGTACATGCAGAAGGCTGGATCTGAGGCCCAGGACCCCCATGTGGCTTTAACACAAGGCGATTACTGATTTATATAAAAAAACCTCTGAGCTCAGGTGGGCAAACCACCCATGTGCATAGCAGCTCTGGTCATACAAACTGTGTTCCCAGAGCAGCTCTCACTGAAACCAACATGAAAACTCCCACTTATTTCTCAGGAAATAGGACCAAGTCCTTTCCCAATTAAGATAGCACAGAGGCTCACAATACATAACAGACCTCACATGCTCCTAGCATGCCTTCTTCCCCCAAGCACATGCAGCTCAGGGGTTCCAGGGCATCCCTTTCTTTCCCTTTCTTCTCCTCTCACTGGGAGGACGCTGGCACAGCCCCTTTCTGACCACACAGTCCTCCAGCCACCCACAGCAACCAGACCAAAGTACTTCTGGGACGTAGGAGCGGTGCTGAGCCCCTGCAGATCGCTAACAACAGGGGCCGAACACTTTGCTTAAAAAGGGAACAAAAGGCAAATTTTCAGTCGGTGCTTTCATTGAGCACTCACTTTTGGCAGGACGAGGCCACAGACTGCTGGCGTGACCTCTCCAGCACCCAAGGAGGGGCAGGCTCCTAACCCTTCACAGTTAAAAGCAAGCAGCCTTGCAAAACCCCACATAAAAGCAATGTGGGGGCAAAACATTTTCAAACTGCTTTCACCCACACAGCAGTGACTGCAACTGCCTGTAGCTAGACAGCAAAGTGCTCCTTTGGGGAAGCTCGCTGACAGCAGAACACCAAAAGCTTCAGCTTCCCTTTACATATACACCACTATAAATATGTGTGTGTGTGTGTGTGTCTGTGTGTGTGTGTGTGTATACATGTATATACACACACATATATGCCATTTTCTCCCAGCTTACAGTGTAGACATTCCTATCTGAGCAGAGACATTCTCATATTTCATCTCAGGAGGAGTAATGCTGTGTTGAGAACCTAACCCAAGGTCTGTCACATTTTTTGGAGTTTTCACACACTCCCGAATAACACAGCAGAAGCTGAGGCCAGCCCTGGGTCTGTACTAAGATGTTTCATTTATAAATCGTAGCCCTGGTAGGAATGCGGTTTGCTGCCTGGGGCACTAATCACAGACGTACCAGAGCCTGGGAACTCAGTCTGTTTCTGAGACTTTCCCTCGGTCCTTGTGTTAGGTGTCACAAGTCTTGCTGCACATTTGGAGTTAAAAGAGCACGTTAGAACATTTGCGTCACATTTTCCATGGCTAACACAGCCAAGGAAATGTTGTATGCTCGATCCCAATTCCACTGCCACAGAAAGCACTGGACTTCCAACAGCAGCTCAAAGGGGTTCATGTCTGGGGCTGGAGAACTGTCCCACCTGCTCTGCCACACTCTGAAATGCTGTCCTGTGCCATAAAGGGCTGGTTCACCAGCTGTCAGAGCAACCCAACAGCGTGCTAGCCTTCCCACATTCATTCTGCATTGATACAGAGCTTGTGCTCCTGGCACACCAGGTGTGTTGTAAAGCACATTACTCAGAAGGCTTCACATTAACCACGCAGACACGTCCGCAGCCCTGGCACAGGACCTGGCCAGCCACACCGAGCAGCCACATCGGTCACCGCTGCCTCCCCCCAGCTTTGCCAAGACCTCCGTGTTTTCCTCCCGGTGGCTGTTGAAGCCCCGGAGCCCACCAGGAGAGCTGCATTCCCTTCGGGAGGTGGAGCTCGTACCATGTGGGGCCACGAGCACCAGTTTTGATGGCTGCTGAAGGGAACGGAGCAAATCCTGCTCTAAGTACGTTCTTGCCTCTGGACTTCGCACCAGAGTGCTGCAGTAAGAATAATTCTCAGTTAAAAAAACGTGAAGGCAAAAGCAAGCCTTACACAACCACAAAACTGTAAGGTGACAAAAACCTCAGCGTGGCACTGGACGGACACACCTTTGTCAGACACAGCTGGGGATGGAGCACGGATCGCACCAGCCTCTGCAACATAACCCACCTGGCCCTCAACAACCTCTGCCTGTGGTCACACCACCTCCCACTGCTCAAGCTATTTCCTTCCACCTCCTACAAACCAAGGAGAAAGCAAGAAATCATTTCCACGCAGTTCAGAGGAGCAGATGTTTTGCAGGACGGTGAAGTAAGCCAGGAGAGCCACAGCTGAGCTCCTCAGGACAGAGGAGCTCCCACAGCAGCCTGAACTTCCCTGCGTTGCTGTGGGAATAACTCAGGAGCAACCACAGAACCTCACAGTTCTCTGCCCCCTGCCCTACCCTACAAACATTCAGCCTATGTGAATATTAAAGTACAAAGCAAAACACTTCCAGATACGCGCTGTTCCCACTGGAGAGGCTGTGAGAACAAGCGATCCGCACGGGATAGCGATCACATCGCCCCATCCACTCCTGAAAAGTGCTGATATTTTGATAGGTGTGATAGAAGAGCCATGCAGACCATCGAACACAACTAAAGCAATACAAGACAGACAGGTTCTCCCAACCAGACGTGTTGTTGTCAAAATTCTCTGGGGAAAAGCAGACCAATGCCTCCCGGTGCTTCCCACAGCTCGGCACCACACACAGGAAGGCCGCTGCAGCAAGCCCTTCTCCCTCGGCCATAAGGCCTGAGGGACACAGACACATCTGGGGCAGAAAGGTCCAAGCTTGCCAACACAGACCCCCAAAAATAGAGGGAAGCTCTGAGCTCATCAGCGCAGCTTATCTTACCCATGGATTTGGACTGGGTGCCAACTGCCCTGTGTTTGTTTCAGGGCAGACACGGTTACAGAGCAGGGGTGTGTGGCAGTAGCTAAAACTCAGGCCCACAAGACAGCTGAGAGAGTGTAAGCCCAGCTCCCAGTTCCAATTGCTCTGCACCTGAGTTTTGCACATCTCCTGCTTGGGAGCGGTGACTGTGGTGAGATCGCCAGATGAAAAGCACCAGCAAGACGCCAGGGATTGCACAGATTAAAGAGAGGAGCCAGGAGTTAAAAAGCACCTCTCCAAGCAACTATCATGTGAATCACATCTCCACTGACTTTCTAACTCCAGCACTCACCTCTTCAAAGTTCCTCTACACAAACATCCTCTTGTTGCCCCTGGAGCCTCTCCTAAAGCCCCGACAGGGTCAGGCCCAGCCCTCCCCCTGCCCTCAGCCTTATCTGATTCACTGCTCCCCACCTGCCCTGCATCTTTAGCCCCACACCCACCCAGCTGCCCTCCTACTTTTCTGTCCTTGTGTTGGCAAGGGTAAGGTCAGTTCAGGCCTTACTACCTGATCAAAACTGCCGCGGTCACACAACACACAGCATCCGTGCCTGCCTGAGCTCACGCTGAAGCGCATCTCCCGTGCCAGACACCAAGCACAGTTCGTCCTCCTGCAGCTAACATAAAGATAACATGAAAGCATGAAGCTGGCACGAACATCAGTGTCATTTTGGGGGTAATTTAAAAGAGAGAGCTGTGTGCTGAGGTCTAGTGCAGCTCAGTAGCGCGCTGCCTGGTGATGTGGTACTGCAGGCACGTTAGGGATCACGGAGCCATGGCGAGTTTTGCTGCAAGGGCAACAACAGGCCAAGGGCTCAAACCTCACAAAAGCACTAGGATTGCTGGATCTGAAACAATGCTGAAATGGAATCAAGCACATTAACTGAGGGGCAATGGAGGAGATCTGAAAACCTGAGATACCCCTCTCACAGTGGGCTGGAGGTTCTCCCACCAGCAGTGGTGGACAGAGGCTGCTCCAAACTGTGGTCTCGTGTAAGCCAGGCTCTCAGCAGTGCTGCAGGTGCAGGCTGGGCATCCCTATGGCTTCTGCATTCAAAGATCTGCTCCAGAGTCTGGAATATGCTGATACTTCTGAAAGAGGAAACTTTATTTCCCAGCACATTTGTAAAGAGCGTCCTCTTTATATGCACTGCTTGAGAAGATTAATTTGTAGCCTGGAGATGCTTTGCTTTTGCAGAGTAACTGTTTCTTTCAGGAGGAATTTTTTTCCAGCCCTGGCCTCTTGTCAACAGGCCAAGAGATGTTCCTACTAGAGCAGAGGCTCTGCTGAGCATCTCTGCCCCTTCAGGAAGCCTGCGCCATCCCGCTGGAAGTGGTGCACGGTGCCCCTGGGCACCAGTGACTCACTGGGGAAGCACGCAATTTGGGTGATAACTGCAGCTGGGCAAGAAGGAGCAGGAAAGCAGGAACACTGCAGCTTGGCAGGTAAGCCTGAAAAGAGCTGTTTGCTGTTCCTTTGACAGCTGCAGTGAATCTGTCACTGCTCTGCCTCCCAGCGCAGTGCCGAGCACAGTCTGCCCCAGCAGACACCCACACCAGTCCTGCCCCTGCATCAGCCTTCCTAGAGGGTCCTGGGATGGCTGCAACTACCTTCTAGTTCACAGCAACCCCAGGGAAACCCCACATATGTCCCGACTGGAGCTCTTAGCAGACAGAAGTGGAGAAAGAAAGTCATTCTGACCATTCCCTGAAACACCTAACATACAAAAAAGCAGCCTGTGTTCTTCCTCGTAGCCTATGCAGACCCTGCAGCAAAGCGGGAATACCTAGCCCTCTCCTGGCACAGTAGAGCCTCCAAACACCCCAGTGTCTGCCACAGTGCAGCTGTAGGTGTGGGACAACGCATTATGATCTGCTGTCCCTGGAGAGCCAGACTTCAACACCCACTTGAGGCCGCTACTCACCAAAGGCTCAAAGTCACATAAGCTTAAGGCCCACAGATATCTCAGCAAATAACTGTGTGATAGAGGAGATGAGTTGGCTGAAGCAGTTGGTTTTGAGGCTCCTACATCTGTCACATATGCTGCTCAAGGATTTTACCTCCAGGTAGACTTGGTTGCCTGGACCAAACCCTGCAGCCATGCATGTGCTTCACAGCTGTCCAGAGAACTGTCTGCTGCTTCTGACCGCCACGGTCTTCTCTGCAATCGGAGTACATCTGGTGCAACCTTAGAGCAGAACTCCTGATTCAGTTTTGATTAAAATGAACCCAGTCTCGCATGCACAGAAACCGAGCTGCCAACCGATACAGTGCACTGAGAGTGATGACGGTTTGGAAATTTGCTTCAAAACCACCCAACTGTTCCAAAGTGAAACACCACTATGGTGGGAGCCTGTGATCTCTCAGCTCCCATTGGTTTTCTAGGGAAACATGGCTACTCCAGACAGAGCCTAAAGTGTTTCTATAAACTTTGGGTTTTACAGCTTCAATCCCAGCCCCTTGGGGGAGAATTTACACACCTTTCACCTTTCATCCAACTGTCTGTGTCTATATACAGCTCCTGGCACACAGATCAGAGAGGCCTCACCCAGCACAGAGACAGCTCTCCCTCCCTAAATGTGGGGCAGGCATTGCTCCAGCTGCCTAACAAGTCAATTTAGAAAGTCAGCCCACGGTACGAATGGGTATCTCAGAGCAAGTCTGAGCGGGAAGGGATCTGCCTGCCAAGGGCAGGCTCCTCCAGCAGGCCAGCAGTCTGGAGTTGCGTTTGGGTAATGCCTGCCTGTCCTCGGCCAGACAGGATCCCATTGCAAGCAGTGCTGTGTGGGCCACCTGGGAAAGTGTATTTCTGCTCCATGCTGTGTACCTTCCCAACCACTCGTGTGGATTGGGTGGGTCCTGAGAGAGAAGAGCTCGAGGCAAGCCTTAGGAAAGTATCCACGGCAGAGGAGCAAACAAGGGCTGCGAGGTCCCACTCTGATGGACTGACTGCTGCCAGCTGCCTGCCTGAGAGGGAGGAATTCTCCATTTATGTGGGATTCTGTCTGAAATAGGAAACACAGTTTTTAGTGGCTATGATCAGCCAAAGCAGAAATGCAAAGACAAAAATGAACAACCAGAAGAACACATCCACATGCTAGATGTTTTAGAACGAGGGCTGAAAAACCTTTTGCGGCTGCTGCAATTCTGGGAGCAGGCTCACTCCAGTGCTGATGTGTCTCTGCCATCTGCAGCCAGAGGCCCTAAGCCCTTCTAAAGCCCTGATGTGAACTATGAGGTGGGCCATATCTCCCTTCCTCAACAGTAATGCCTGTGTTCCAGCTGTGCCTTCACAGCTTTCACAATTCTCATTTCAGCCTCATCCCCACTTTGCAGAAAGGCAAAGGGCTATGGAGGAGCAGGATCTGGCTGCACATCGCTGCCTGGAGCTGCAAAACATCTGTGGCTGAATCGAGTCCCCAGGAGCGTGCATTGCTGTGCAGTGCAGGGCTGACCTGGCAGCAGTTAATCATGCCAGGGCTCTGTGCTCTCCACTGGTACATTGCTGCCATCTAGTAAAACTCCTTCAAATATATGTGAAAAGCCCCTTTCACTAAATATATTCAGGCAATAGAGTCCTTTAAAGGGACACAGGACTCAAAACTAACACAGTTTCCTTGGCCCTCCACGTGTATCTATATGTGTGCCACTGGGTTTGTTTATATACATACATATAGAAGCATCTTTGTACATACCTATACACGTACATGTAAGAAATATCAGTAAGGCTACACAGAAACTAGAAGGATCAGGAGGCAGCAAAACAAGAGGAGACCAAAGCCAGTACACAAAATAATGGCTTCCCTGAGAGCCTCCCCATGTTTTTTTCCACAACAAAACCAACAGTAATGAGGCCAAAAAAAAAATCAGACCAAAGGAACAGTGAAACCTGTGGCAGAACAACAGAGAGAAACAACAACTGAGAGAAAAACAAAGGGAGCATAAGGCAAACTGAATTGCCTCCTCAGCCTGTCCTAACAGGGCAGTTTTGGTGTGTCCTGACTTCCCAGGTATTCTGAAGGAGTCAAAAATCAGTTTCTCATGTACGCCTTTCAAAAATGCTCATGCATGGCACAGAGACAGCTGACCTGGCCTAGGTAAGAAGACAGGAAAGGTTTCGTATTGGGCTTCCAAAGATTTGCTGGCCTCAAAGGCAGGATGAATTAGCTTCAAAGGGTGTGTAGCCTGTTTGCTGTGGAGAAGAGGACTTGCCTTTTCTAAAACAACACTTCACATGTGTGAGAGGGGGGGACCACCATTTGCAGGAAGAAGAAGGCTAAAGTGCAAAGTATTTCCATGTCCCCCTACTTCTCTGGCACCCTCAAAATTATCAACCCCTACTTAGTACCCCTCTCCCCAGTTTAAAAAACAAAACAAAACAAAACAAAGCATTTTGAATAGTGCTGGCCATTCCTAGTACAAAGCACAGTGTGCACACATTATATAAAAGAGACACTGCATTCCTCCGGGAAGAGATAACAAGCCACAGGGGAGGAATGCTTTTCCCCAGCGTGTCTGTGCATGACCTAAACCCAAACAGAATCAGCATGCAACTGGCAGCTCCCCAGCAGATGACTCTCCGCGTGTTTGAATGCAAGTCAAGGTGGCAAAAACAATCAACCAAAATGCCTGTCTGCAGACAGACTGCACAGACCTGCAGGACATGGAGAGAGGCCACTGCACTGCACTGGCTGAGGGTTCACCTCACGCTTTAGGACTTGGGTTCTTCAAAGAGCTCAACTCAGGCTTTAGATGCTGAAAAATCTGGTTCCGAGGCATCCTCAAGACAAATCCTGAACCCTGAAGTTACGATGGATCGTGGGCACTTACACATGTGTCCACACACACTTACAGTGAGTTTCCTGAAGGATTCTCTACTCCCAGTGACAGGAAGCCCACCACGCATTCCCGTTTCCAGGCACGAGCAGAAATTTGCCATGCCTTAGCTCCCCAGACACCACACTGCGAAGGATGAGGAGGACTCACACAGTAACACATTTGGTCAAAGACTTTACACCTGCCTACAGCGCCATAGGGCTCCAAACATCACTATCATTCAGGAGCAGAAGTTTTAGTTAGATTGTACCAAATGTGTACAATTCTCCCTGAATTAGACCCAACAACATATTGAGGACTGGCTTAGGAAGCAAACGCCCTCAGTCCTCCTGTCACTGAGACAGCAGCAAGTGAACTGGGGAGATGTGGTGGATTGGCTGCCAATCCATCGATAGGCAGCCAGCTTCTCTCCCCCACACTTACCAGTTTTGCTGGTGCAGCTGTACTGGCAAAACTCCCCACTACAGCAGAATCGAAGAGTGGGATCAACAAATCAGACAAGCAAAATCAGCTTCATTTACCCAGCACTTTTATGCTGGTATAACTGGTAGGGATTGTGCAGCGAAGCGGTGTAATTAGAATAAAACAAATAAACAAACCTTTGCTGCCAGCACCCTGCACTGACCAAACTTGGAGGCGTGAATCTGTTTTATCCAGTGGTCCTCTACAAATCAGACACAAAGGACTATTGCAATTGTCCATGAAATGCTCCCATCTTTGGGGTGAAATACAGAACCAGCTTAATACAGAAGGTGCTTTGGCTGAGGTAAGCAATCAAAAACACTGTAAGCAGCTGGAAATGGAGGAAGGCAGAGAAACAGAGGAGGGCTCTTAGGATGAGATTTTGGCCACTGTTGCTGTGGAACTGACATATTTGGCCACTGGACTGGAGATGCTCCGAGTTACTGGATATATGCATGCTGGGGTGTTTGGTGTCTCGCAGCCAAACTAGAGACGGGAATTTCCCTGTTCGCACCATTTATTGGAATACCTGTTCAGATGTAAGAGCAAAAGAATCACTTTAGATGGGACCAAGAGCCTACCTACCAGCATCCTGTCACTGAGGGGCCTAGGCAAGGAGCAGATCAGAGTGAGTAGGGAACTGCTGTTCCACAGCACAGCTCCCTGCTCCCAGCAAAGCTGCTGAGGGGGAACAGAGACTGCTCCTACACGCACCTTCCCTCCTCACAGCCTGCTCTGAGCTGCCTGGCCTCCATCTGAGTGCAAACCTCCTTTCTGAATGGGACCACACTTGAATTGTATTCTCACAAAACAGCCAAACCTTTCTGCTACAAAGCAAAGACAAGAGTTCAACAGTCAGAGCATGTCATACTTTTTTGGCTGTTGTTTTTTTTTTTATGGGATCCATTTGCACATTGCCTAACCGAAATCTCTATGTATTGAAATCAGAATTAAGCAGGGCCGAAAACTGAAGACTGTAGAGACTTGAATTTCAGAGGGCTGAGGCTCCTATTTTAAGTCCTGTCAGATCTAAGGCTGTCAGTCAAAGGGTCACATTTGCCTTCAAAGACTGCTGTCCTATTAGGGATTTCCTGATGCTAAGCATCCTGGCTTAGCTGCCCGTTCGGTGGCTGGCTGGGAGCTGCAGGGAGGAAGCTGTGAGACCAATCACTTCAATGTATCAAATACCCACGAGCTCAGTGCTCTTGTGTGGGGGATACAAAAAAGTACATGAGCTAATTTCATTTTCAAAGTGGTGCTTAAATTTTGCTCTCCCTGGAGAGGGTATGTGACAGAACAGAACCGCTTCTCTTGTACAGTTATGAATCCTGCAACCACAGCTTGAAAAGCAAACCCATTGCCTCCTCTGCCAGGTAACTGGGGCCTTCTGCCAGGCTTGAGAGCTCCTTCCAAAAGCCAGCTGTAAGTGAAAAGTATGGCCATGGGCTCTACCACCTCAAAAACATTTCTCCTCTTGGCAAGAGCATCCTGATTCTGAGGGGAGGGCAGCTGCTCCCCTTCTGCCAAGGCACAGTGCACCCCTTAGTCTGGACCACAGCTTTTGCCCCCAGAAAAAAGGACTCAGTAGCTACAGCACTGGGCACTGCAGAACTTTGGCTCATCCCACCCCAAATCTGGACATAGAGCTGGAGATCTGGGAGGTTGTTTCAGCTGGGATTTGTAAACAGCAAAGGAAAGGCCCAAAGATGTAGGAAGCCCAGTGGTGTTTGACCTTACCCTGCTGACACAGTCCAAGGGCTCTGCTCCTGCTGTCTCTGCCTCCAAGAGGCCCCGGCAGTTTTTGCTTCCACTGTCTCCCCTCTCTCCAGGGTAGGTTCTCCGATCAGCTAACACAGCTCTGCTAAGAGGGAGGAGATGGGTGAATATAGCCATGAGGCCTCTACACCAGTGCCCTGGGAAGGGGGGGGCTCTGCCCAAGGCAGCAGCTGGCACTGACACACCAAGCAGGGCACAAATATCTCCCCTTCTCCTCCTGCTGCCTTGCCAAAGCATTTACAACTAATTTTGAGTTTCCCCAAGGGAAAAAAAGATTAAGGAATGAGTAAGAAAACTAGAGTCAGCTCGTACTCCCACTTGCACTTGGGGGTTCAGCTTTGATACCTGCAGCATGTGGAAACTCCCATTTTGACTCCCAGGGACCATTTTTTCACCACACCTTGTACTCCCACCAAGTTACCCTCCTTCACAGATCTGCCCCCAGATAGAGTACCTCTTCTGCCTGAAAGCTCTTCTCAGATCAAACCAGCAGTGCCTCTTTGTAGGGAAAAGAAATGTGTTCAGAGTTCAGTTTTGGCAGTGCATCTGTGCTGCTCCTTCCCCAGCCCAGGGCAATTCGGGTTTTTGTCTGGTCTGATGTCTGCACAAAAAAATCCCTTTACATTCTCCATGATACTAAAGGTACCCACAGCTCAGGCCATCAGGAGCCCTTACTTCCTCTCCAGGTGTTTTTATTTTATTTATTTATTTTTTTTCATTTGTGTTACATGAAGACAGATTTGTTAAAAAAAAATAAAAAAGGGAGCTGAAGTGTCTGCTGGTGAAAGGCACAGGCAGGGGAGGGGAGGTGAAGCTCCATGCTGTCTCTGAAAGACCTCCCTTCACAGGTAAATTTGGCATGGCTGACCACCCAATCTGCTTTTGGCTGGCTGATTAACACCTGTACAACACATCTACGAGAAAAAAAAAAAAAAAAAAAACAACGGTGGAAATAACAGCCATTCCCATACGGACTGTGTTCCGCTCATGAACAACCTGTTCTGAGCAACCCCGAATCCCAACACCAAAAACACCAAAGCAGGCCTGGGCATCAGCCCAGGTACTGACCAGAGGCAGCCCTTTCCAAACAGATCTGAGAGGTCTGTGGAAGCATAGAGCCCAGCTCCCATGCGCCAGCTCCACGTGCCTGCACTGATGACTGCTGGAAAGCCGGAGTGTAGGCAGGGTTTGTCACACCTCCCTGCTGCTATCCCAAATCAGAGCCCAGCGAGGGGCTCATCTTCTGTGGTAACTGGTGGGGAATATCCTGACGGGGAATGTGTTTCTGTGTGGTGTGACGCTCTGTATTTACAGGAATACAATATCCACAAAAAATACACTGGGGACTCACCCAGCTGGCAGAGCCGTGGCGGTCTCCTGCAATTATACATGACATACGAGAGATGGGATGCCAGCTAACACCTGCCTCGTGTTTATACAACACCACAGTACAACAGCTGCTCTATGCCCCATGCATCTGAGACTGCTTGGAAGGTAAATACACCAAGTACAGGATAACCTGAAACTGCTAGGCAGCTAGGGCAAACACCTGGTGCAATTGCTGTGCTCTGAAAAGGAAGGGCACTCATGCCGGGATCCTTACCAGTGCTGACAAGGTTATCTGGGAGGGAATTCCCAAAATATTGATGCCCATATGTGTTTGCTTCCCAGAAAGCCGCATCTCTTCCTTCTTTCCTTCAAGTCATTATGGTATTTGCAAAAGCCAAGTGAAACCTTGCAATCACACTTGAACAAACTCCGAGAAACAAACCTCCACCGACAGCTTAGCTGGAAGCACTGATTGCAAGAGCAAGCGAGGCCTCTAAACGCTGAGCAAAGCCAAATTTCAGCCCAGGTGAGCTGCTGTGTGCAGTGTAGGCATTCGTGGCTCTGGCTGTTGCCTCTTTACAGAGCAGGAATCAGATGTTGCGGGCTGGGCAGGAGGCACTGTGTGTAGATGACACTGTTTTATGATCTGGAGAAAGAAGAGACAGTAATTCACAGCAGAGAGCAACTCCTCACTGTCTTGCAGGACAACACACAGGCCTGCAGCACCACGCAGGGCAGCTGGCTGCACCCTCAGCTCTGCTGCTGGTTTCCTCCGTGATGCTGCAGGCGTGACCCAGGGTGGGGGTGCAGAGAGCAGTCCCCTCCCAGCTCCATGCTGCTGCTGGTCCCAGCACCGCCCGGTGCCCGCACACAGCCAGGCCAGCTCTGCCCTCCGCCTGCTCCTACGCCGACATGCTCGGGGCGAGTACTTTGCCCCATTCTCCTTGAAAGTGCAAGCAGGTGGTTAGCTAGTGCAACCCCAAACAAAAGCTCACAAACTTTCCCCTGTGCATTTTTAATTGCTGTGTGTAGCACAGTGACACTGAAGAAAATGAAGAGCAAGGGAGAGAGCAACAGAGAGAAATGGGCCGGGTTGGCTCTGAGCAGGCCAGATTCTGCCAGGCGGGCTAATTTACAGTGTGCAGCACTCGGTCCCTGTTAAATTTAGCAATGCTAAACTCTATGAAACAACAGGTAAAAGAATATTCACAAGTGCAGCTGCCAAAATACATCCTACTGGGAGACGTGACAAACACTCCATGGATTTCCTTGGGATCACAGCAAACCTATAGCCAGGGCTGGTACTACCAGGATTTCAAGGTGACCATCTGATTTCAGTGTACCTTTAGTGTGGTTTCAGAGACAGACTTCGCCAAGAAAAAACAGAAGGAATTGAAAGACAAAAACAAAATCAGCAAAGGGGTTCCAGGACCTTCAAATCAGCAGATGCCTACGGATCTACACCACGAGGGTGGGTGGATTCCCTCCCTGCTGCCTGAGAAAGGCTGAGCCACCACCGCAGCGTGCCCTGCAATGGGGCCGCAGACAGAATCTCTTTCTTCCACCCAGCCACCTATTTCCACAAACCTCTAAGAATTTAATGCATTAGAGGCCTCTGCTTTTCAGTCAGACATGGTTGAAACTGCTCCTACAGGTTCCAGTCACTTGGGGTGGAGGGAGTTACCGAGGGCCTACACACACACACGGTGTGGTGGAACTGCACTCGTCTCACTTCTTCAGGCCCTGGGCTGGAGGAGAGAAAGTAGGGGCTGCACAGCACCCAAATACATCTGCTCGTCCCCAGCTCCTAGGCAGACGAATGGCTGAGCCCCAATGGGAGGGTGGCAAAGAGCCAAACGCTCCCACTTCAAAGCTCAGCAAGGCGACCAGATTGTCTGTTGGCTTTTATTACGCTGCTATTGCTTGCGTGGTGAATTCCAGACAGGGGATGTAATGATAGACAGGCTAGAATTGCCTCGCTAATGATAAAGTTCAGGTACAATGTGTAGCCAATAAAGAACAAACCTCTTGAGTTTCATTTGGAAATAGCTGCTCTCAGTCACAGGAGTTTGCATAGCATGAATTCAAGGCATAATAACCGGCAGCGTTTGTCATTTGGGGGGAGAAGGTGAATTTTTAGCACGGAGTAAGTAGTGCAGGTGGTCAAAATGCAACAACCGAGTTTATTCTTGGTAAAGGCTGGCCAGGCTGCTGGAGTCTTTGAGCAGGGTGCTATCAGTGAGTGCAGTGAGTTGTGGAGCCTTCTCTTCCAGGCAGAGCTCAGCAACACTCTCCTTCCAAATCTTTCTCTCCTCTACCTCTTCCCCATAGGATGGAAGGAAGAAAGAACAAAGGATGGGGATACTTAAAGAAATAGCATGGGACAAGTCTCAAGAAGGAAAATCATAGGATCACAGAATCATTTAGGTTGGAAAAGACCTCTGAGATCATCAAGTCCAACCGTTAGCCTCACATTGTCAAGTCTACCGCTAAAGCATGTCCCCAAGCAACACATCTACGGAAAAAGGAAAAGTACAGCAGCAAGGCACTCTTAGAGAGCAGAGCAACAGAAGGGCTGGGCCATTACTATGCCTGCCAGTAGTCTACTGTGTGACTTTGGGGGAAGTCATGGCATTTCTCCACCTCACTTTTCCAGTCCATGGATTTATTTAGACAGCAATGTTTGCAAACCAAAGAACAAAGGTACGGTATATATAATAGGCCTATTCAAGCCCCGGGAGCTTCTGTTTGCTGTGTTTAGAAAAGGGCCCATATCTCGCTGTGTCTTTCAAAAACAAAAGACAGCCAATCACCTCTAGCTGAAATTAAAGACCTGTTTTCTTTGACAACAGCTCTTACACATATCTAATGCCCAGCAGTGGCCCAAAGGTGTAGAGAGCTCCATCAGTCCTTGTGGTATCACACCACTAAAGTGCACAGCAAAGGAGAAAACAGCACTGAAATACTATGAAGAGCCAAAAATTATCCTACACCATATTCACGAGCAGGTGATAAGTGAGTAACCATATAGCCTGAGTATTTGGGACTTCTGGCATGCCTTAGAAAGTGAGCCTATGGGCTAACATCCCAGAGGCAGGGCCTGGCACAGCAATGGGTTCGGTCACAGGCTGACAGCACCACTCCATATGGTGCTGAGGCTCTTGGAAAGAAAGGTGCTGATAGCAAGAAGGGGATGCCTGCCAAAACGAGCCTGTACTGCAGCTCGCTCACTCAGAGCTGTCAGGCAAACACCACAAAACATCACCTGGGGAGCCAGGCTGACAAGGCTGCTGTGCACAAGGGAACAGGCCTGCTAACAGAATTACACAGCACAAGCAGCCCCGCTCAAGGGACACCTGAGTCCTGGCCCAGCTCCAAACTAGCTCTGGTCCCTTTGAGGTGTGGGGACAGCTCTGTGTGGCTGGGCAGCACCCAGGATTTCCTATAGGACTGTTAACATGGAGTAGGCAGCAAGCAGTAGTGACACAGCTGCTTCCATCCCCACCTGTCCCTGGCAGCACCCTCACACCACCCCTGCGCAGAGTTGTACCCAGGCTCAGGGGGCTGCCAGGTCACTCATCTCCACACACAGCACGGTGAGGCAATAGCTGGAATATCCAGCAGAAGAGATATTAGTAGCCAGCTGTGCACATCTGGAGCAATAGACACAAGGAGGACACTCAGACACTCCTCTTCCTAAGACAGGCTGGAAATTCCTTGGATCCCCTAAGGCACTGATCCACCAAGACCAGCACTATTTGCACTGACATATCCTCAAAAAAGCTGGAAATATGCCCTCACTTTGCAGGAGTGACAGGCTGGGGAAAGGACCAGGGAATATGGGGAATGCCCAAAGTCAGACAGCAGTGAGCATGTGCTGAATCAGCTTAGACAAAATAAATCAATAGGCACTAAAATGGGAGGGTCCCTCACAGAGCCACGCAGCAGACAGAAACCCGCTGGAAGGACTGGAATGTGTTACTGGCAAATTAGCAGCTCTCTGTAAGATATGATCTGAACCAACCTGAAGCAGCCCCAGACAGATGCACCATCTGCTCAGAGCATTCCACAAGGACATCACAGTGTCAAAACCAGCAGACAGATCAAGGAGCGTTAATACAGAACATATCCGTGAGCCAGCCGGCAGGGAGAGATCGCGGCAGCCCTTTGGAAGGGCTGTCTCAGGACCATGCCTTCTGCTCGAGCCAGACTGGAATTTATCAATGACACAGTACACACAGAGGTGTGACTGCTGCTGTAATGCAATGGCTCTCTTGGAAGATGGAAAGGAATGGCAGGATGGACGTCAGACAGCAGCTGACAAATCATTCAACAAACGAGACGGCTGCCGCGAGACAGAAGATGAGGCATCCAATTTTAGTGCTCTAACAAAACAATCCAACAGTACAGGAGCCCCCATACAGGATCAGGTTTCACAAGTATCGTTGGTACGCTTGCAAAAAGGATCACTCAATCAGATGATAAGAGTAGCAATGAATTCACAGCACTCTTCTCAAGTTCACCTACTTGGTGTGGTCTCCAGAGAACTCCCGAAAGATGCAGGACGTGGCTAACAGGACCATGTGGCTCACAAGAGGCCTGCACATCTCCTGTCCTGGATGCAGCACAACCTTAAGATCCACTGTGCATCTCTGGAAGAGGCAGGTAACCTCTGCTCTTCTTTTCCTCGTGTCAGCTCCTGCAACAAGAAATTCAGTCCTGAGACCTTGTGGGCAGGCAGTGCAAGTCCTCCTGTTCCTGGGCCCTTTGCGGCACACAAAGCAAGGCGGGATGCTGGAGCACTGACTCCTCTACACCTCGCCTCCCCGCATGCTGCAGCGAGCACAGGGTTAGACCTTCAGTCTAAACTCCATGCGCCAGGCTTAGCCCCACAGACTCTAGAGGATGCCACCCAGCAGAGATCCCTCTTCCCCTCACCTGTGCCCCATGGACCTGGCAGCATGTGTGATTCTCAGACACCCTCAATTCCTTCAGCTCTCTTGCCACCATCATTGTTCAGTTGTCTCAGGTCCAGCAGCGAGGCAAACCAAACAAGTTAATTTTCGCTCCTGCCCCTCAGCTCCTTGGTATGTTTGATGCACTAGTTCAGCTGTCAGTACTCCACTCTGTGGCAAAGGGGGGGAGCAGGAGTCACATTACAAACCCAGTTTTCTTCCTGAAGGATTTTGAAAGGGGATGGACATTACTGGGGAAGGTGAGGCTTATTCCTCATTTCTTTACAGGAAGGCTCTATCAGTAACAACTCTGGTAATAACCAAAAGAGGCAGCTCAGGACTCTGGCTGAACATGTTTCTTATATCTTACAAGTAAGACGTCTCAGTGTAAGTAAAACAAACAAACAAACACTGGAACCAACCAAGGGCTAATTAGAGCTGTACAGCATTTGCCAGAAAAGCCCCCTGCTGAGATGCAGCTTACCCTGGCAAGGGCAGTTGTCTGTCTGTCCAGACAAATCGCATCCTGGACTAGCTCACGACCAGCTGATGGGCAAGACGGCTGCTGGGGGTACCCCTTGTGGCAGCTCCCTGCGACATCCTTACCAGCACCCTGCAGGGAGAGGTGCCACTTCTACTCCCAGAAGACAAGGCTACACTGTGAAAACTCATTTAGGCTCAAGGAATGCAATCACTGGAGGACAAGCCTCTTCTGGCAGCCTGGATTTTAAGAGCAAAATGTGAACGTTTTACAGGACTTGCAGGAAAAGCTGGAGCACCCCCCGCTGCTTGCAGTGCAGCCAGGGGACACTGCTGCTCAGTGCAACTATCCGCTCAGGAGGGCTCAAACACACAACATGTTCACGCCTGGCTTGTTCAGTTGATCTTATTCATATCTGAAAACAAGGCAGGCTATGGGAACCTAGTGTATTTACTGTGTTCGAGGTGCATTTTGAAAGCTTGATTCCTACTCCATTAAAATTGATTAACTTGGCAGAGTCTGTAAAAGACTTCATTTCGAGACATACGAAGAAATGAAGATGGTTAACGCAATTATGCTGACAGTAAAATGTTGAACTTAATTAAGATCTCAGCAATGATGACATATTTATGATGATTAAATTCAAGATCTGCAGATAAGAGGACAAAGGTAAATGTCTTGGTTCCCTGGACTCTCTTTTCTTACCTTCTATCCTAAAGAAAAAAAACTCACTACAAACCTCAGTCTCTTCCTCAGCCTGTCATTCCTTCCCAGGGATGTTCATAATCCCTAGCTAAATTTAACAAAGGATCAAGGATCATCGAAAAAAAAAAAAAAAATCAAGTTATTGTAAATTAGTGAATATGGGCACCTGGGCTGAGGTGAGCAATCCTGCAAGAGGAATTCACCTTTTGCTTGGCTGAAGAGGAAGAATTCACGGATATGAAGGAGAAGCAGATCCAACCAGATGACACAAAGCCATGGGGAACCAAGCTTCATCGTTCCCAGAAAAGCTTGCCAGATGGCAAGTGTGAAAGGAGACTTTCTCCTGGAGGCACACAGTACACTACAGATGACATTAAAAGATAGCTTCATCTCTTTTGATGGCTACTTGTATTGCACAAGTACTAAACAGGCAGCTTGTTACTGCACACAGTGCTGCACACCCAGAACAAGAATCCTTCTGCTTCCACAGCAAACTTTCCCTTGCTTCTATTGCAAAACTAAAAGTGAGTTCCAACAAAATTACAGCCACCTAGGGCTGCTAGAACAGCCCCCTCCACTCACACCCATCTCCTGGCCAGGGGGCAAAAATGACTGCTTTCTACACCTTTCCCTTTATTAAAAAAAAAATAAAATAAATAAAATTAAAAATAAAAAAAAAAATAAAAGAGAAAAGAAAAGAAAAAAAATTGTACTGAAATAATACTACTCTAGTAAGCTGGAGCAGACAGCTTCCATCCGGACCTGGGTTACTGTGTTAAACAAAAAAAAATCCAGATATTTATATAGAGAAGCTCTCCTTGAAAACCCTGACAACACACTGGCAGTCCTACCAGCATTAATAGAGTCATGGAAGTGATGGCTGAAAGGGACCTGTGAAGGTCCCTTGTCTAAATCCTCCTTGAAATAGGGACCATTGTCAATGGTTGATCAGAAATGGTGTCACTTTGTCTAACTAAGCCTCAGAAATGACAAAGGATGGAGATTCCCTGATCTCCCTGGGAATCAGCCCTCTTCCAGTGCTGGACCACTCTCCCTTGTGAGAGGCAATTTCCTAATATCTAATCTGAACCTTCCCAGCTGTGATGTGCAGCCACCGCCCCATGTTTCACTATCTGCCACTAATGAGATAAGCCTGGCTCCAGCAGCTTTGTAACTGCTCTTCCAGTCACTGTAGGACACTGCTAGATTGCCCTCAGCCTCCTGACCAGACGGAACAAGCCCACCTCCCTCAACCTCTCCACGTACCTCCAGGTCCTCACCACATTGGTAGTTCCCTGCTGGGTCCCCTCCATATTCTCACAATCGTTTTCACCCTGGGGCCCCAGAACTGGACATTACTGCCCTTGCCATGGGCACAAACCCAGAGCCCTGTCTGTAGGCTGGCAGTCAGCATTTCTGGAGCAGTCTGGCACTGGGTAGTCTTACATGGGTGACTTTTATCCAGCAGGACGACAGAAGAAGTGTTGAAGTGAAATACCGGACAGTCTAGAGGGAGAAAAACTTCTAATGATCTGTACTAAAGCGTAATATTATTGCTGAGAGTTACCCTGCTCAAACACAAAGTAGGCAAGTGCGGGATGCCATCCCTGTTTGCACTGCTGCGCCAGGACAGCAATCTGCTACAAGTACCAAATGGCGCTTCTCCTGCCTGCCCCAGACACTTCCAGCACACCATGATGGAGCCCCTGTAGCCTTTGGGGACCCTCAGGTAGTGGCTCAGTTTAAAAAAGGAAGAGGAAACTTTTATTTAGACGAGAAACTTTCAAGATCACTTCCTCCTTCACATGAAATCTGGGTAAATAACTTTATTGATACAACAAAGAGGCAGACGTCACCGGAGTAAATCAGTCAAGCACGCTCCCCATTCAGGCCTGAATACAAACATCATAAACTTTTTCCTAGGAAACACAAAATGAATAAAAGCAGGCCTTGGTGTTGAGACCAGATCCCCTCTCTTAACCACTAGCCTACAGGTCATATTCCTCCTCCTTCCAAGTTCCTCCTTGGAGCTCAGCTCTTCTCTTCTTTATAAACCCATAAGACATAAACGACTATTTAAAATCAAAATAGTCAGACTAACTTTTCCTAGAAGAGAAAATCCAAGAAAACACAAAGGGTTTTTGGCGAGATGACTGTGTGCAGGGAGGTGCTGAAGGAACAGCATGCACTCATGGTACCCACTGAACACAACCCACACGACAGCCAAAGGGAACTTGGGGAAGTTTCTCTTGCCTGTCCTTTGAAATACACTGACCACCAGAAGAGTTTCACTTAAAAACACCACACACTTTTGGCAGCATAGTGAATATTAAGGAGTATGTAAGTAACACGTTGATTGAGAAAATGCCTCTGAAAAACATAAGCATACGTCCATCTGACCCAGCTCCAGAGGATGTAAAACTGTTTGGGAGAGATGGAAGGAAGAAATGTGACAAACTGAGGGAGTTCAAGATGAGGTGACATGCCCAGAACGAAGGCTGGAATCACAGCCCCAGGTGGAAACAGTACTCATCTACAACTACCACAGTCATCCCCAGCCCTGCTGGGCATACTGCTCCTCACCAGTCTTGGCAGCAGCAGGGCTGGCAGTGGAGCAAGAAGCACATGTCCTGCTGCTACAGGAAGGCCCTCACCTTGCAGAGTGCGGTGCCAGGTCTGAGTGGCCCTCCTTGCTCCACAAAGAGCAGCACCCATGAGCACTGTCCCTCAGAGGAGGCTATGACCTGTTGACCCCGTTTGACTCTGCAAACCTTGGTCCAACCTTCCCAGTTGGCCACCCATGGCTGGCGGTGCCCTGCAGTGGTCTCGTGCTTCACCCCCTGCGCTGCAGGTCCCTGCCATGCCCTGGGCTGAGCTCTCCTTTCTTGTCAAGGTGAGGCCCAAGCTCTTTCTAGGCAGCTGCAGGAAGCAGGCTCAATCTGTGCCGTTTGCATTTCAAGCACCAACAGGTATGTACTTGCACTTTTGCCCATGGTTTCCATGATGAAAGTCCCTAGAGGATCTGTTTACATTGACATCTGGGGTCAAGCCTGAGGGTTGGCTCCACTCAGCTTTGGCCTACCTCAGAGTTTGCACCAAAGCCATCCACTCTGTCCTTCCTGACCCTCCAGATGAGCTCTTCAAGGAATCAGGCTTGTTTCTCCTTCTGGGCTTGTCTCTACATGTAGGTGTCAGTGACAGGAGGCAGGCCCCACAGCAGCTCTAAGCCAAGACCGGGCAGTTGAGGATTTGGTGTTGGCCAACTGCTCGAGCTTGTATCTTGCAGGTGAATGGTTTGATTCCAGCATGAAGGCATGAGACTGACAAGTTGAATTCTTCTCAGACCCTGGAGTCTAGCAAACCTGGGCCAGAAAGCCTCCCAGAGCAAAGCTAAAGGAGGCACCAGAGAAGATGGCTAGCAAAGCAGGAACTGGAAGTGTCTCTGAAGCCAGACTTTAGGGATTTCCCTGCTATGGCCTGAGACCACATCCCTGACAAATTTTGTGGTATATACCCACAAATGCTTGTATTTCCCTGACTATACAGCCTAATAATCACAAGTTGCTTGCTTCAAAGATCGGAAGCCCATCACGGATACTCCCATGACTCCCTGTCCCACCTTTCAGACCTTCCACATACATCTCCTCCACTAAACCAGTACTATTTTACAGACTACCTTTTATTTTACAGACTACCAGCTTCTGCACCTTCTCCAGCATATGCTTCTCGTGACACAAAGGAGCACAGGGGTTCACCAGCCAAAATCCCAGAATTCTTGCTTCCCAACGTTTCTCTTTCAAGTTACTGTTACTCGCCAAATACTTAATCAGGTACAAGCAGCTTTTGAAGTGCCTAATCTCCTACATTTCATTGCATTATTTTTATCCACAGACAGTTTAGGTAGCACAATTGTCAAAAGTGCTTGCTGGGATCCCTGTGGCTGACTACAAGCCATAGGCCACAAATCTCTATTACTGTGGACATGTTCCAGGCTGTCCACAGGCACTTCCAGGAAACACATCTACACAATTTGAGGCATCTCTTGCCATAGAGTCAAAAACAGGATTTATACAAAACATGAGCTACCAAAACAGGTACCAGGACTCTCAGGTAAAGGGCATTGGTCTCTGTTTCTAAAATATTTCTCATTTTGGCTTAGAAAAGACCGTGTTTATCAAAATTGACCATAAAATATATGCTATTCTTGCTAAACAGATGTGTTATATGCAATGTGAATGCACATCTGCAAGAAACTATGAAAGGAGACATTTTCTAGAGCATTTCACAAAACACACAGGGGCAAAGTTCAGAGCCTGATTATGTAGGTGTTAATCTGATAAATATAAAACCTGTGTCCTGTAAACAAACTTGGAGTGTCATTGCCAGAGGTACAGACTGGGAGTAATCCTGGCCATGCACTGCATGTCAGAAACAATGTTCTGAAGGGCACATATTTAAAAAAGCTTTCAGTCTTAGGATTGTGTTTAACGGCTTCAATACCTTGTCTGAAGAAAAAGTAAATTAACCAGAATACCTGAAAGTCATTTAGGAACTGATGAAGATATCTTACAAAGGAGAACTGGTGATGTAAATATCACTGTTACAACGATAGACTAACTTGCATGATGAAGTAAGCTCCCTAATTAGGATAACTTTCAAATACCAGAAATACTAGAGAAATCAAATACAAGAGGCTTCCCCAGAAGTACCACAGAACTGCTCCCTCAAACACTGCAGGCAGATTTATTTTTTTTTTAACCTGACTAAAAGCACTCCATACTTACTTTAGACAATTTATTCTCACTTCCCTGAAGTAACTTCCACAAATACAATTAGATAGATTAAGCAATGGTCTTTCTAATCTCAAATGACATGGGATCCTGCCATTGTCACTGACAACAGACCACAGTCTCAGTGGTAAAGGTTCAAGCAGTTTGCAGTGTTGTATCTTAGACTTCTCTCTACTGGAGCCCAATAGGTTGAGGAGAAAGAATGTCAACATAATAAAAATGTCTGCTAAAATCTTTCAAAGCCAGATCTGTATTTAGGACTATCAAATATCTGAAAAGAACTGGTGAAGGTGAGCTGTCACCAACAAACTAGTGCTTAATGCTCAAGGATAACCTGAGATGGAAAGTCTCTTGGTAGAAACAGCGTCCTGTCCCAATGGACTTAAAGATACAACCAAGATACAGCTGAGGCAAAATAATGATGAACTTGAGGTCTTGGGAATGGTTACCATTTAATGAAAACAAAGTTGTGCCTATTTGTGGGCAAGAAGACAACACTACCACAGAAAAATAATTCACTGGCATGGGAAGCCATTACCTAAACAAGCCAGACACCAAAGAATGGGCAGGCACCCTTTCTCCTGGTCCCACCAGAGCCCACTGGCACACAAGGCTTTTGTCAGTGGAGCCTCACTGCCCAGCACCAACCCAAGCCAGCAGAAAGAGGCTCTATTGTCCTCCCTACTTGCTCACTACAGCCCCTGTCCATGTGTTGCATCTGAGCATCAGAAATACCTTTGCAGTGGCAGAAAACAGGGCACATCCTCACAGTCAAAGGGGATTCCCAGTTTTCACAGGGAGTGAATGTAATCTTGGAGCTCTTTTGTGAGTGGACATAAGCCCCTTTTGAATGTTATGCATTAATGTTGTTGCTGGCATGAGCCTTTCTTCTGTGCCCCAGAGAGGAACGTGAGCATTGCGCCAAGTCTGATGATAAACGACAAGGGATAGGAAAAGCCTTAGGGTTTTTCAAAGGGGCAACAGATCCTCAGTGCTCAAGGCAGCAAACGTGATTTGCAGTGGCAAACAGATTTGAGTGCCAAGAGAAACTCAGCAAAGACTGATATTTAAGCAGATTTTCCTCTTAGGGTTAAACATCTCTTTTTAATAGTAGAGAAATCAATAGCAGTAGAGGGAACTACCATCAATTTGATAGGGAATGCTGCAATCCTCTCTGTACAGCTTTCCTCATTAACTTCATTTATTACCTATAACCTGTAGCTCTTCCAGATCCAGCATGCTCCCCTGGTCCTTGGCTCTGCGGAATGGACTAGTTTTCATCAGAGACTAGGCAGGAGACTAATTAAATGTACGCATTTCATTTGTGAAGGGACTCTGGGGAGATGAGGAGGGAGAAGATAGCTCTTTGCTTGCTCTGCCATCCTAAACAGTTTGTATTTGTAAAAGTAATTCGGATGACAGCAAACTGATGCCTAAGGAGCAACTTCACTCATTAACCTAACATCCACCACAGTTTACACCCACCACCATTTATATGCACCATTAATATTTATAAGGATGACGTGTCTCTTTGACTAGAACTTTTTTTTTTTTTTTTACCTCCAACAACAACAGATGTTACACCATTTATGAAAGAAACTACTCAAGCATTTCCAAAGGATCCTGTCCATGCTCATCATGTCTTTATCCTGTGCTCTGATTATACTATGCACAGAGAGCCTGGATGACCTACTCAAAGTTCAGATCATGTCGGTCTCAAGCCCTAGAATATGGAAGGCAGCACATTTGCTGACAGAGTCATCAGAACTTCTCAAGTTGCATTATATCTCTGTGGATGTTCTTTGGGGAGCTGGAGAGCTTTTAAATGCAACTGATAGCTCAAGTGTGCAAGACATTACATGGCAGACTCTCCCAGCCCACAAGGATTTACCACTTACCCCTGGGTCTCTAAAACACACAGCGAACAGCCGAGGCTGCAGGATTGTCTTTGCCACTGCCGCCACAGCTACATTAGTGACCGCATATGATCTGCGAGGAATTAAGAACTGTTATTATGTGCTGCATGGTAGTGCTCTACATACAGACTTGCAGGAAAACACATTCTGCAAAGCTCTGATCCCATTTATCTCTACATAAATGTGCTTCTCTTTGGCTAAACTATAATTTACATCAAGCGTGGGAGGTGCAGCCTCTGGCAGGACATAGATCCCACTTTAGCAAAGTTAAACTCTCACCCTCCACGCAGGAGAAACCACACACACCTCACCATCAGCAGGCAGCAGTATGGCTTTAACCCGTAAAGAACTGCATGGCTATGTCGAGGGGCTTCCGAAATCTCTTTCAGGCACCACAATGCACAGGCAAGCACTGAGGTATTAGACAAGGTATCTAAGGTACATTTTCTTTTACTAGATTGCAGTTGACATTTACATTAAAATGCATGAGGTTATCATGAATCACTTCACCTGATGTGATGGAGCTCATTCCAAGTGGCACAAAAATGTCATATTACCCCTGTGGGCTAGAGCAGATAGCCCACAGTGACTTCTTCCTCAAAATGGCAGGTCTTGTAGTGCCCTGATATTTGTGGCACATACATTTTTAATGTACAGCACAAATGGCTCCAGCATTTGTCAACTCATCTGACCTGCAGCTTTTCAAAGAAAATATAAACAGACATGCTCCACAGCAAGAGCTGGCCATGTGTAAAATGTGTGGCCATCAGTAGCCACCAAGTCAGAAAACAAATAGGAAGTTATATGGTCTCCAGCCATTCTTGGCCAAGCTCTGCTAGCAGGCCACTGTCTTCGGTGCACTTCAGGCTAGATCCTAAAATTAAAAACAGGTGAGACAAATCTCTGTGTGAATTCAGGAGCTCCTTCAATTCCTATTTACCTAGTTAGACAGCACAGCATCTCTAAGCTAGCTCTGAATCATACCTGATACAAACAACTGTGATTAAGAGACCTGGCAGATCTGGGGACTGAGTCTTCAGCCACAACAGCACAATGTTGCTTGTGTAAGCCAGCAGAATTCACAACAGCGTAAAACCCACTGTGTGTGTCTCTGACTACATGTACTAGGACATACTGAGTTTTCTTTGAAGGGAAAACAAGCTCACAGACTCTTTTGCAGTTCATCTATTACCACACAACTATATACATTCAGTGTGTTACTACACATTTTATAAAAGCGTGCCTGTGTTTTTGTATGTTTTTATGTGTGTCTGCTGATGTTACATGCCCAGTTTTGGCTCAGAATAAAGACAGTTCTGTCCAAATTGACACCCATCACTTCACTGCAGTTTGCATCCACACATCTGCCTTTTTTTCTTACGCTAGGCCAGTTACGAATAGACCGGACACAAATTGCAGGCACAGGTGTCTCTACTTGTTTGAAGACCAAACTGCCATGCACCTGGCCCGGCCTAAGTGACACCTGTGCTTAGTCTGCATTAATTGTATCAACAAAAAGGATCAGCCCAGTTCAGCCTTGTGTTAGGTGGTGCACCGAGCTCGTTGGATCCGGCAGGATGGATTTAGCCAGGCCTTCCCAGATACTGTCCAATTTTGTTCCTGCCTAGCGCAATGAGATGTGTCACCTGGAGAGCGAGCTCTTTGCCAAAACCCAAGTAACCACCGCTTTAGCATACAGTGGCAAGAAAGAGAAACGTAACACAAGTACCTTTCTGACAATGAGATCTGCCAGCTGCAGCACAGAGAGGCTGAAGCTCAGGTCTCCAGCCGCGACGTGCCATGTGCCAGCTTTATCTCTGATGTGCTCCTCTCTGCGGCCGTGAGGGACGGCACCAAACATCTCTATCCCGGGTTCCCTTTATCGAGCAGGGACCAGCCTGCTGCAGGCAGCATTCACACAGTGCCTCAGAGACAGAAAGCACTACGAGGGCACGGCGGAGCTGACAGAGTGGCGTCACCCAGCGGGGCGGGCACCCACAGGTGACACAGGCCTGTGCCAGGCGGGGAGCACACACCAGCTCAGCAGAAACACTGAGAAGCTCAGGACCATGATTGCAGGCACAGACCACAGAGCAAGGCCATGGCATGGGGTTCATACACCCCGGGGATGCCCTGCCAGCGGCTGGCTACCCCCTCCCCCGGGGGCGCGCAGCCCACCCGCACGCAGCTTCTCTCGTGGCACTCGGGGAGCAGCAGCAGCAGCTCCCCGGCCCCAGGAGCAGGCTCAGCCCGCTGGGGCCGCCCCCAGAGCTCAGCACGGAGCAGGGCAGAGTTATGCCGAGCACGTCCAGGGAGCCGGGCTGCGGGGGGCTCGGCGCTGCCCAGCCGAGCAGGGGATGCTCTCGCCCCCCCCCTCGGGCGGGGAGGACGGGGCACGCATTAGCGAGGGGAATAAAAGGAGGGGAACAAAGGAGCGGGGGCGAACACCTGTCGCTCCCCTCGGGGACGAGCCCCGATGCTTTTATTCGCTGCCGTCTGTCGGGGGAACTGCAGCTGCCAACTGTCAGCAGCGTCAAGTTACCGCACAAAGCCGCCCGAGGCCTGGAGCACGGCGGGGCTCGGGGGGCCGGGGGAGGGCCGGGTGGGGGGGGGTCCCCGCTGCCAGCCCCCGGCCGGGTCGGCACCGAGGGGCCGGCCCCAGGCGGCGCTGCCCGCGGGCTGTGCTGCCAGGAGGGGACCGGCGTGCCCCAGCGCCTCCCAAACAATTAAAAATAAATAAATAAATACGAATTTAAATAAATAAATAAATAAATAAATGAAAGTCCCAAATAATTAAAAAATACCCCAAATAATTAAAATAATAATAATTATTAAAAAAAAAAGGACGAAAAACTTCCAAATAATAAAGCCCCCGATAATAATAATAAAAAAAATCCTAAATAATAATAATAACAAAAACACAAATATTTAAACATAAATAGAGACACCAGCGAGCCGCCCCCGCTGCCTTCGCGCCCCCCCGCCCCGCGGCACCCAAGGGCTCCCCCGCCCGCTCCCCCCGCCCCGCCCCGCCCCGCCGCGCCGCAGACAAAGCGTCCCGCTCCTATTGGCCCGTTCGCCCCACGCTCGGGCGGCTCTGTGCGCGCCGCAGCCAATGGGCTCATTGAGATGCAAATGAGCGGCTATAAGGCGGGCGGCGCGGCGCGGGGCGGGGGCCGGAGCGGGGCGCAGCGGGGGCAGGGGCCGGGGCCGCCATGGCGCCCGCGGGCAGGGGCCGCCCGCCGCGGGGGGACGGCGACGGGGACGGGGACGGCGGCACGGGGGGGGCCCGTGCCGACAGGAGGGTGAGCGGAGGGGCCGCGGGGAGGCGAGGAGGAGCCGGGGGGAGGCGGCGGGCGGCTGACGGCGCCGTGTTCCCGCAGACGAGGAAGCCGCTGGTGGAGAAGAAGCGCCGGGCGCGGATCAACGAGAGCCTGCGGGAGCTGCGGCTGCTGCTGGCGGACGCCGAGGTGAGGCGGGGGGAGGAGGAGGAGGAGGAGGAGGAGGGGACCGGGGGTGTTGGCGGGGGCCGGGGCCGTGCTGACGGCCTGGGCGCCCCGGGGCAGCTGCAGGCGAAGCTGGAGAACGCGGAGGTGCTGGAGCTGACGGTGCGGCGGGTGCAGGCCGTGCTGGAGCGCCGCTCGCTGGGTGAGTGGCGGGGCCGGGGGGCAGCGGGGGGGCGGCGGGGCCGGGGCCGGGCAGCGCCTCACGCCGGCCCCTCTCTGTCTCTGTCTCCCCCTCCCCGGGCCGCAGAGGGCGGGCGGCTGCAGCGCGAGGCCAGCGAGCGCTTCGCCGCCGGGTACATCCAGTGCATGCACGAGGTGCACACCTTCGTCTCCAGCTGCCCCGGCATCGACGCCACCACGGCGGCCGAGCTGCTCAACCACCTGCTGGAGTCCATGCCCCTCAACGAGGGCGGCTTCCAGGACTTGATCGCGGACGTTGTGGCCGAGCCCTCGCTCGGCCCCTGGCCCGGCAGTGAGGCGAGGGGACCTGCAGACGAGGCCTCCCCCGGCCTGGTGCTCCCTGCCTCAGCGCCCTCGCCAGCCCCCAGCGAGGAGACCTGCTCCGACTCTGATGAAGCAGAGGCTGAGTTGGGCCAGACCTCCACCGACGGACTGGATGCCTCCCGGACACGCAGTGTGCCATCGCCCAGCTTACCCAAATCCATGTGGAGACCCTGGTAATGGAGCGGTGCGCCCAGGAGTCGACGTGGAGCTGCCCGGCGAGGAGAGCGGCCGGGCACTGCACGCCCCTGTGGCTGTCGGACCTGCACGCCTGGCACTGCCGCATCCTGGGGCTGCGTAGATGGCACTCTGACACTGTCACCCCCCTGACAGGCTAATAGCAAAACACGTTAACATTTCAGCTGTGTGTATGTTGCGTGTGTGTGTGGTGTTTTGTAACTCGGGGGTTGTTTTTTTTATGAGAGGTCGGGGATGGGCTGGGGGAGGAGGGGGCTGGTTTTTTAGTAGCAAAGCTCTTTGGTGGATGCACACCAGTTATCTCATAACCCTGTCTCATGCTTTTGGCCCTTATAAGTGGCCCAAATCTCACTACCTTTTTCTCTTAAGAAAAAGCCCTTGTGCATTTTAAAGCTTAATGGTTAAATCCATGAGAAGTTCAGTCTGCATGCACAGTTTTAAGTGTTCTAGTGATAGCAAAGATCCCTGAAAGGGGTTGGTGTGGTTAGCATCTGTACGTGGTAGCAGTCTGGAGTCTCACCTTCAGTGAAGGAAGAGAGAACTAGAAACCTGTTGGAGTTAGATAAACATCTAAAATATTGGTGGCAGGGTGCCTTTTAGAAATGAGTGTCTTTATGCACATTTTGCTTTTAGCACATCTGAGTTTATTGTGACTTTATGTATATTAGGGTGTCAAATGTTTTTTATTTTAATCTTTAATAAAAAACTAAATTCACAACTGATTTTATGTGTTTTGCAGTGTGATACACTTTAAGTAGTTCACAAACTTGAACACAGTGCCCTATTGTTAACTACTAACAACACTATGTATATGTCTTGGAACAATGCTGGTAACTAAGCACTTAATTCATGTACTAAGCATTGTTAGCTCAAGTATTGGAATTCAAATGTTTCTTTTGTTTAATAGTAGCAGACACTTACCTTACTGCAGTGGGCAGTGTAGTACTGTAGGGTTATCTCATGCCCCAGGCTCCTGGGCAAGCAGTTCATGTGGACACCAGGCTCAAACCTCATCTCCCTGCAGGGGGTGGTGGTCATACAGCTGCAGTCCACCTTCAGAGGCACTGGACAAAGCTCCTGGTGGAGTTTTGTCTTGTGTTTTTGTTCTTGAATGCAGAGCATGCAGTGGACTTAAAGTATTTCTGAAGAGAAAAAAAAATTTTAAGGGGGCTGAACTCAGCCCTCCTGTACATGAGGTTTGTCATACCTCGTGTTCCTACTTCTGGGAGATAGCGAGTTACTTATGCTGTGTAATTACCTTTGAGAGCTGCCATTGTAAAGAAAGAAACAAAAACAATTGTGAAGTTATTTAATACATGGAAGTTCCCAAACACAGAACAAGCAAGAAAGGAAGCAACCTAACTACCAGGGGACTGGACCTGTAACTTTCTTTTGTTAATAACCCTCTGGAATAATAAAAATGGAAACTAAGATACCAGTAGGCCTCCTTTGTAATTTATTTAAAGTTACCTGAGGTGGGGGGTTCTTATTCAAAGATTGCCATCAGATTGGTTTAGCACAAAAGCCTCCCTGCTTTTCCCCAATTTCCCTTTGAACTGTGAGGGCAAAAACCAGCTTAACAGGAGAGCTGCTGTAATGACCTTTCTGCTTTAGGGAGGAAGGGAGGTCAGCATTTTGAAGTGTAAATGAAGGAGGAACCTGGGACACTTGCACTAAAAGTAACACCCTACACTCAAGCTGACCTCTTGGACTCACCCTGCACCTCTCTAGCTCCAGTGCAATGTCACTTTTTTTTTTTTTTTTTAAGCAAAGCTGCTTCCCCAAGGTGTTAGTGTTTGATACTTCACTTTTTGCTTCTGCTCAACTAGCCCAGGTAATGATACCCCCCTCAGTAACATGGTACACATTGTGCTACGTGACCCTGCTATGCCATGACAGTCCCTTTCAGTACCTAGAAAACAGCCCTCCTGTCAGGTGCCCTCACAGGGGAGGCAGAGCCACAGCCCCTGCCTGTAACACACAGGGCCAGGCAGCCTGCGGAGCTGGGCAGCTCGTGGTGGAGCACAGGACCAGAGGTAACAGCCACGCACAGCCCACCCTGTGTTCCTGCAGAACAGCAAGCACAGGGCTGCAGCCACTCGCCTGAGCTCACTGAAGGTTTAAGTCCTAAGGTTTGACATCCAGGGCTGCTCCGGGGCTGGCTGCAGCTGCTGCGGGCACAGTAGAGACAGCGAGGCTCAGCTTCATTTCCATGAGATGAAAGGCGGCCGGGTTAGGGCTCTTCTGCAACGCTGCGGTGAGAGCAAGTGCAAATCCTGACACTTTGGTGACAGAAACACAGCTGAGAGTCAACATAAAAGTGCTAGCTTTGGTTCAGCAGTGGATTTGGGGGGCTGGCAGCAGAGTTACCACTGGTAAGCAGCTTTGCAGACCGGTGAGGACCCTTCCTAGTTGAAGCCAGCCTTACCCATTTACCTGTTCCCTTTCAAAATCCAAAGTGCCGTTGCCCTTCCCAGAGGGAAGCCACTGGTGGGGCCCTAAGTGCTCCCTGCACACTTACACCACGACAGGACTAGAGAACCAGGCAGACCCTGCTACCTGTGGTACTGCAGAAGGAAACACAGAGGAGCTCCGGGCTGGCTGCAGCCTCCTGGCCAGCCGCATCAGCTGCTTTCCAAAGGCCACGATGGTCAGGGAGAGCCAGGGCAGGAGGGCAGCAGGACTTTCTCAGGCCTGTGGTGGTTGAAAAGAAAAAGCCAGGTCAAAGTGCCGCTATTACAGTTTTTTAGAAAGCATCAAAAGCATTTCCAGAATGTGTTAGCAATAAGGCTTTTTTTTTTTTTTTTTAAATCCACAAATTAGGTTCACAGAATGTTTACATCCTCTGATTAGGTGCCGCTGGATTTCTCCATTTGCATTTCTGTACCTTACTGCAAAGGTGTCAGATCTGACACTTCCCCGACAAAGGCAGGAAGAGGTGAGCTTTGTAGGGGCTGGACTGGGGAAGAGGGAGGGAAAGGAAGGTTTCCAGCAGCTCTGATGAAAAAAGAGCGAACCCTTTCAAAGCCCTTCTTTACAGAAAGGACTGCCTTTACTCTTTTCCATTCCAAAGTAATATGAACAGACTGACTGATCTGACAGTGCGCTGCATTGTAAAAGGAGAGAGGAACAGCACACAAACAGAGGGACTTTCGTTTGATATGCAGTTGAAGAATAATTGAAAGGACTCATCCTCCCCTCTCTTTGCATGTCAGTCACTCACACCTGCTGCAGGGGAGAAGCACTCCGTCCTACACCAGGTCAGCTGGGAGGACTTCTGTTCAAATCTTCTCCTGAGCTGCTGGCAACACAGAACAGAGCTTTGTCAGAGCCTCCAGCCAGGGGCAAGATCAGGCTTCAGGTTCTCCAAACCAAGTGACATCTTCTTTTGTCACCCACTAGCAAATATCATGTAGTTCTCTGCAGAGTCTTTCACCTCCAAATAAGTAAATCTTTCAGCCTCTATTCCAGTATAAGGTTGAAACAGAAAAGATGACAAAAAACAGATACAGAAAACAGAAGAAAATTTTAAAAAATCACTCCAGAACTCAGCAGCAGGGCTAGGGGAGGAGGCCAACTTCCATGCAGACATCTACAGAGGGAAATTTCTGCTAGGCAGACAATTTATTCCTGCCTGCAACACTGGCAGCTTATGGCTATTACCATCCAAGGTGCTGTCATTAAGCAAAGTGCTATTGAAACAAATCACAGAAAAGGGGGATTTATTTCTGAGATATGTGCTGGGATTAACCAACATTATCCCTGGCATCCAGAGCTTTGCCACGTTTTGGTAAGCTCTCCACAGATAACATCCCAAGGGGCCATCCAATCTTGACATCTCCAGCTGTTGGAGCCCAGTCTTAGGATTCAGTTTATGGACCCACCTCCAAACAATCAGCAACCTGCACATGAGCACACACACAAGCAGGTCTCCAGCCCTACTTCTCCTCCCCACGAGGATGTGGGTGCAGATACTTAGGTTTTACAAATCAAACCTTTAGCTTTTGGAGCACACCAAGACTTTTGCCTGAGCAGTTCGTCCTTCTCTCCACTGAAGAGGATGACCAGGCCAAACAGCATGTCCCCTGCTGAGCTTCCCCCACCAGCCACAGCTTGGCACCACTGAAACACACGAGATGGTATGGATAAGACCCAGGAGAACATCCTCTTGTTTGCATCCACAGATGGATGCAAAGGTTTGAACAAGGTCACGCAGGATCAAACAGTCCACCAACCCAGCTGGCTGAGCCAAAAGCCTATCCTTCTTCCGCTTCCTAAGACGTATTTCATTTTGTTGCATGAGATCCCTGGTTCAAAGCTCTTTTTTTATGCACTCTCATACAGATACCCTGAGCTCACAGTAACCTGAATGGATAGGGTCACTAAATAGTGTGCCTTAATCCTGTAAGGCTTACATGAGCTAAGAGAAGGGAAAAGGGGGGAAAAAAGCCAGTCTGTTTCCTTCCATGGGATTTTTAGCTGCATAAGGAATGTAAGCATTTCTTTGTTGTTTTTCATTATTGTTTTCAGCAACTGTAATCCTTATTTCTGCATTTTAAGAAAGTTAAAATACATCAAATCTGGTGCAGAAAACATTCAAGCATGAAAATACACATTACAGTAGGAAATTTTAAGCTTACTTTAGTTAAACAAGATGATGATTGATGGTGATCTGATTGGTCACACTGCATACGTTGTGTTACACTGCACTCCTTCCAGCTGAGTAAGTCATGGGTTCAAAAGGCCTTTTAATCCAACAAAGTAGAGTCTTAAATGCCAAGTGCTAGATAGGGGATTCAAACTGTTTGAAATGAGAAAGTAAAAGATTGAAGTCAGACACTGGAAAAGCCACAAATTCCCTTTTTCACTATGTCAGCAGGTCAGATGAGACAGTATTCTTCCAGAAACAATTTTTTTTTTTTTTTTTTTTTTTTTAAACACAAAGGACTTAGTAAAACTACAACATACTGGCAATTAGACTGGATGATCCCTTCTGGCCTTAGATTTCTTAAGCATAAAACTACTTCACTTTGTAGTCTTTTAGTTTTTACATTGATCTCAGACTAAAATTAGAGTGAAAGTACAGTGAGTACATTTTAGTGTTGGCTTTGTTGTTTTTTTTCCATCTGGGAAAGTGCAGACCTAGGGCACCCTGAAGCACACTTTTGCAGACAGCTTCAGGAATTGCCCAGAGTGAATTACCCTCAGCTGAACTCTGCAAAAGCATAAACCATTTAGGTACAAAGTAAAGCAGCTGAATTTAAAATCACCAAAGACACAAACCTTAAAAATATCCTTAAAAGATGTGCTCATTAAGAAGAAAAGGAAGTTACTGGGCATCGCTTGGAGTTCGCGTATCTGCTCTGTTATGTGCTTCAGAAAGGACTTCATCTAGTGGCCTTCTTTGTATTCATTGTATTTGTTCATTTGGACTATCCATGAATGAGAGGCACACTAGCAAAACTTTAGCATTTCATTCTCACTACACTGACGTTGTCAGAACCAACATGGGCTGCAGAGAGTCACTACAAAATCCCTTCTACTGCCACCCTGCAAGTCTTCACAATTGGCATTCCACAGATGGAAAAGGGAAAACAAACTCCTGAGACATTGTCAGCCCCGTAACTTTTCCACCAAGGCAGAGGGGTTGTTCACAGCACCAAAATGTTTTTTTTTCAGGCCTCAGTGATGCAAGTCCTAGCTAATTTGCCTCCTTTGGGTCAGCAAGCACTAGCTGGTGTTTACTACCTGCTTTCTGTAATGAAGACACCTTTGTGTGTCTTCTTGAGCTGAACTGGCCAACTCAATTGAAATACCCCTTAAAATTCATATTCCAAGTCCTCCTATGGCTGAAATAGGAGACTTATTGGTATTGGGTGAACTGCTACAGTTTGGCATAAAGTGTCAGCATACAGTGTTTAGCATAAGCATTGATATACCTCAGTCAAATGACAAAGGTACATGCTCGATCTTCTTGCTTTATTTGCTCACCCAAACAGGTATATTAAGTCCTATCCATCTCTGCACACTTCAGAGAAGTTATCCTTGGCCAGCCTGGCAATGACCACACTGAGTCAGCAGCACACATGCATGTAAAATTAATAGATGTAAATGGCATAGACCATATGGGAAATGAAATATGCAAACAAACATAAAGAGAATCAGTGTAGTGTAAAATAGGTAGATCAAGAAAGAACAGTTACATGCAGTCAAGCATGAAAGGTCTTGTTGGTTTGCTTTGGTTGTTTTATGTTTTTTCCTCTTCTACTCACAAACAGCATACTTTGAAGCAAACTGGGAAATTTGGGGTCTGCCTACTTTGGAAAAATGGGTCCCCAGAGTGCTGGCAATTATAAGAGGGTTCTCAATTATTATCTCTTTCCTTGAATAAACTAGATGCTACTCCAAGTACTTCTAAGTCTCCTGTACACAAACAGGTGGGCTCTTTGGTCTAGTAATCAACCCTCCAGCAAGTTACCTTCACAATACAGCATACACAGTCACCACATTGAATCGTCAGCAAGAAATAGATCCTTGCTGCAAGAAACCAGCAATGCTTGGCCAAGCAAGAACTAAAGGAGTTAGGTGTGGATCCCAGTGTTCCTCTGAGTACATTTCCTCCAGAAATGCAGCAGAACCTTACACTGTAATGGGGAAGACTCACCCCTCTGGCCCAAACCGGAAGATCTGGCCATCTGGTCCCTTCTGTAGCTGAAGAAGATGTTCAGTGTTCAGCCTCCGTTGATTTCCTATTGGAATCCCACAAACTGGCAGAGGAATCAGTATTGCTGGAGCAATGCAGGGGAGCCTACCTGGTGCCACTGGTTTGTTTTCTGTAGTACTTGTAACCATGGCATCTGAGCAGCAAGAAACAAACACGCAACATCAAGAACGGAAGTGCTTCTACTTCCCCTGTCCTTCCCTTGAAACAAACACTTCACACGTTTTGTACTTACTGTTCTTGTTGTTAAGGAACATCAGTATTAAGAAACTGTCTAGACAGAGTTATTTTATACATCAATCTAAATAAAAACTACAGATGGATTCATCAAATGGCCCAAATATCTATTTAGGTTTTGGTTCTCAAGACCACCAAAATCTGAAGTATCTGGAGACAAAACTTTGATTTAACTTAGTTTTTAAATGTTATTTCTGAGTTCTGATCTGTACTTGGACTCTGACCATTCTGGCATTTGGGAATTTAGTTTACCAGAAAACCCAGGTGGACACAGCCCTTCTTGGGGGTTGGGGCTTGGTGCTGTAGCTTCTTTTGCCAAGTGCTCTAATCCTCACCTTTCTTCCCATCCCTTCTCCCCCTTTCTGCACGTCCACCCCCCCTCTTCCTTTTGTCTAGACAATTGTGCAATTTCAACCTTCCCTGTTTTGGCTACCTGCTCATTTGTTATGGTCATAGCCCATGGAGGTGCTCAGATTTAACCCCTTTGTCTACCTTTTGTGTCTGCATTTTAAACACTCCCTGTCTCAATTCAATTTAACTGATTTTTAAGGTCCAAGTATCCACAATGTCAGAGACATTCATCTCAATCTTTTTCCTCAAATTCTGACAAATAATCGTTATGTCTCTCCTGAAGAAAGATAAATGGTGTTTTGCTGTTGATAAAACTATTTTTAAAAAGGTGGTAAGTGATTTCAAAGAAGAGGCAGTGCCCTTTGGACCTCTGTCGTTATCCTCTTCCTTCAATTCTTTCTTGAAAGTCACAAACCAGAGTGCAGCAACCCAAATGTTTCCAGAGCAACAAACTGTCAGGTTCTATATATAGCCCAAGTGTCACAGTTCAATCCTCATCTTATCTAAGAGCCTTAGAGGTATGACACACACAATGCTTGGAAAGTTGTGGATACATTTAATAAAGCAGTTTACTCACAGTAAGTCTTGGCAATCAGCTTCAAGTAACTATTACATGCGCTGATGATGCCATGAAGTCAGGGAAGGCTGTAAGCACCCGTACACCTGGAGAACAAATAATACATGTCTTTCCCCTACATGCCCCTCTCAAGCCAAAAACACGTTTTATATCCGAAAGTTTTTAACATCCCAAAGTTTTTAAAGCCCTCTTCAGAAATACTTGAATAAGCAAGTTAGACTGGGCAAGTCAACCAGGTGATAAGAACTTGAGTTTATAAATAGAGATGGTATTTACAACACATTAGGACACAGTGCTATGCTTTTTGGACCTAATTTACTGCCAACCCATTCAGACACATCGACCACTTACATTATGCTGGCCAAGATATCCCAACCTTCCTTTGCATCACTTTAATTTGTCCTCTTGAATGGCGCCATGGGTAGCATTAATGCTCAACAGCTTCCAGAGCATTTGGGACCCTCTGATCCTGTCAAATACGTTCAGAAAGACTCCATCTGTAAAGCCACTTATCAGTGTAACAAGTAAACGTTAACACCATAAACTTCACAAGCCTATGAGCACTAAATTAGGTGACAGAGGCAGTCCTGTATCACTTCAAACTAATTCTGTCAGTAAGTGAAACCTGTAAAAAAAAAAAACCAACAAACATTTACAGTATGTACTGTGGTCCAATCTATATCATTCAGCTGTGAAACTGATGGAAGGTGATAAATGTTTTTACAGATTAGGATATAGACAACCTTATTTTGCTGTCCTGTTAGCTTGATTATCCCCCTTCTCAGCCAGCATTTTCCCTGAGAACCCGAACCACAAGTCCTGAAAACTGTTCTTTAAATTAAAAGATTTAAGCATTGCCTCACAATGGCAAAGTACATAAAAAGAAAAGATTTTAAGTGGACTGGTAGGACTGATAACACAATGTTGTTTTAATAGTCAGGCCTTTATATTGATTTCACTTAGTTTCAGTGCTCAGGTAACACAAGGTTGATTACCAGTAAAGAGCTTTAAATACACTGCCTAACTAGATCCAACGCTTTAAGAACGTCCATTCAAAGCAGTTTGGTAATTACCTTTTTGGTAATCATCTCTTCATTTGTACACAAATGAAGACAATGGAAGAAAGATTTTAGTTCTTTACATTGTGGGACTCCTTTGTTGTTGTCGTCAAGTGATTATGTCAGCTACCAATTTTAACATACTTCTAACATAGAGATATTTTATACATAGATATTAGGATTTTTCTTATACATGTATACTTGAATTTTTCTCTGAAAGGACATCAGGCAGAAGGGAACTTCAAGACAATCAACAGCACACAAAAGCCTCTCAGTGAAGCAGCAAGCAGGGAGGTGGCGTTTCAGAAGAGGTACACATCTTCTAGCGAGCAGACCCGAGCAGAAAGCACTCCTGGCCAGCCCTCCCCGTCTTCCTGGCCCAAAGAGCCTGCCCAGAGCAGCTGGGAGAGTCTTCAGTAGTCACAGCCTCACAGCAGCACTTCAGAAATAAAAAAATGAGGGGCTGGTAAATACAACAGCATACAGACACCAGAATTAAATTCCTGATCACCACATTCTTCACATTGTCACTTTTGCACCGTGCCAAACTTTGTTTTAGTTTCCCATACCCAAATTGCCATTCGTGAAGCCGCTGCTTTTGGCCCCACTCTGGCAACTGAGTCTCTGTACAAGAGCCTGAAGGCACGGATGGAGCAGCCCCAGGGCTTTGGGAGCTCAGCTTGAGGGCTAGGGTTGTTAACCAAGACTTCCATGCCAGTCTGGAGAAAATCATGCAGCCAGAGTGATTTCAGGTCATTCTTTCTTTTTTCATGCCCTGCGGCAGCCACATACTTTTCTTTAACTCCACTGCTTTAAAAAAAAAGTCTACAGGAAGTAAATTAAAACATCATTTATCCCAAAGAGAAACAATTCTAGTAAGTAGTTATTACATTGCACAATCCAAGATTGTAAAATTGATTTTAAATTTGACTTAAAAGCAATTATATGAAAATATACTGGTTGGCACAGTGAGTTGCATTTTATTCTTGCAATGACAATACATAAGATGTTATTTTGTTTCTCAGAATTCTGTATAGCTGCAGAAACAGCATTTTAGGACTCTAAATATACTGTACCTCTGGCACTACAGCTATCACAAGACTTTGCTGCTCCTGATTGCTTAGCACAAACTTGCTCTGCAATTTAATTAAATATTTTCATTGTAAGCCTCTGCTTTTACTAAATCTAGAAATGCAACTGAGCCACGGAAAACCTTTTTTTTTTTTTCCAGAATATGGGAAGACGTGTCAGGATTCAAAATTCAAACTGAAAGTTAAGGAGAGTAGGAGAAATGCATCAGCACAAGCACAGGAACACTCAGACCAATTTATGTATTACCTTCAGTCTTTAAGTGCTCCAATAGATTTGCATAAGCTCCCAGTAAAACAAACATTTGATGGTTGAAGAGATGCAGTCTGCAGGAGCACAAGTCAGAGCACACAGACCAGACATGGTGCAGAGCAAAGCCTTAGTATAAAGTGCCTGCCTACAGGCTGTGCTACAGACATGATCCTTACCTGGGCAGCTGGAGGAACTGAGCAGGTCTTGCCAGGACTCCACAGAACTGAGCCACTCCAGCGCTTGAGATTGTCCAAATGAGAGAAGAGGCAAATGCAGGCTGCCCAGCCTTTCTGCCGGTTCTTGCAGTACTGCCTGGCTTGAAATTTGTTTTCTCCTTCCGTAGCAAAGAACAGTAACAAAAATGAGATTCAGTTTCAACTTAGTCACAGGGCTAAACATTAACGTGCTACATGTTGTGACTTCGCCTTTTCACTGTACTGAGAGCACAGCAGCACTGGTTCCATTTCAGCTGCCAGGCCTCAAATTTTATTTCTACAAGTACTCTCGCACTACAAAGCTTTCTCCCACCATATTCAGTTTCCTGTTGTCACATAACAATGCTAGTTAGTTCCCGGCTATGGCAAGAGTACTTCGCCTGGCTTCCAAGGCACGCAACACAGACAAGATACAATCCTGGCAGCAGCAGCAAGAGCTGGAATGCCATTATCCCAGTCAGGAAAAGCAACAACACAAAAATTTGGGGAGCAAACAAAATACACCTAAAAAACCTGAAAATTAAAGCCACCTGGAGAAATGCATTTGTTAAATTTATCCAGCCAGCTTGTTATAAGGGCTTTTATAATTAGGTTGCTGGGTTCTCTGGTTTCTAGGTTTGCTTTTCTTTTGTTTCCCCTAGGGATGGGAAAAACAAAAACAAGAACACAAAAACACAAAACAATTTAAAAAAGCCAACACACAGGAAACGCAAAAGTGAGTCAGCTAGTGACAGCAGAAGGGAACAACAGCAAACCTTACCTTGGACAAGCAATAGTCAAATTCATTTAGAAGTACATCAATATGTGTTTTGTTTTTTTTTTTTTTTTTTTTTTTTAAACAGTGCAACAGTAATACAAAGAAATGGCTTTTAGACCATTTGACAATTAAAAGGGGGTAATAAGTTCGCTATATCCTGTATGCGTGTATTAATACAGTATGCCTTGACAAATCTTAACACACCAGGAAACTCTAATACATCTTCAGATTTATTCTTGTTTGGTCTAGTTAAAACACATGAAGTGCAAAGCAGCATGGCCAGCTAGGGCTGGTGTAATGCCATCCCCACCAAAGACAGCTACCCCAGTGGCAGCAGGTGCTTGAGATCCTCCTTGCTAACTTCCTAATTCTGTATTACACAGAAATCATCGTGTGCACCACAGGAAACACACGTTTTACCACAGCACCCACTCATTTTGATTAATCCAGTGTTGAAAACAGTCCAGTTAAAAAATACCACAAAAAAAAACAAAAAACGAAAACAAGTGTAAACTTGTGTCCTGTAACTAATATAAACAGCAAAGGGCCTGCCACCTGAACTATTTATAGCACCTTGGGACATTCATTGTCCTTCACTGGGAATTTTTTATTTTTGGCTAAAAAGCATTTTCTTTAGTAACAAATGGCAGGTGCTCTCATACTTCCATGTTGTTCATTAAGGTTAAAACAGTGTTCATGTGTTGCCATAGCAGCTTTTTTGCTGTTGTAGAATGAAACCCCATCATGCACACTTCAACCTAATGTACTTTTGAACTTTTCAGCAGATGCCAAGACAAGTACCCATGATCAAAACTCCAGCATTTCAGTTTCTTCCTGGACTTATACTTTTCACACTTCGGAAGCCTGACATAAGTCTTTCCAAAAAAGAAAAATGTTAACTAGTAAAGCAAACTGACCAAGCTAAAGACATTCTGTACCATCCCCTGAACACTGTCCTCTTCCACAGCCTCTAACAGAAAGGGGATGGTGAGCTGCTCGCTGCCCTGATCAACACATCTAATGTTTCTCAAGCTCACAAGCCTTTGTAATCAAGTAAACACTGGAATTTCTGGAAATTACTCTTAAAAACTTTGTTTTCCTTTTAAGTCATCAGTTTGTCGCTCTGCCAGAAGTATGCAGCTCATTTCATCATGTTTGAGTCAGATTTATCAATGCATTGGTTTCTTTCCACCCTTCCTGGGAACACAAGGAAAGAAAAATCGAGGATCTTGATGCTCGAGTAAAGCAAAACACTTGTTCTCCAAATTCATGCCAGCTTTAAGTGGACTAAAATCCGATGCTTTTCAGCAGCCTCTCTCCCTCTCCCAAGCAGAAAGTTTATATTTGTTTCCTATTTGTGTTGATTATCATTGGGCCAACAACTCTTCATTATGAGTTTTCCCACCACATTATCTGGAATTC